CCCGATCCAGGTGCTCGACGAGGCGCGCGACGCCGTGACGTGCCTCGCGGTGCGCGGCGCCGAGGTCGTCNCGGGGAGCGTCACGGGCGCGTGCGCAGCTACGACGTGCGCGTCGGCGCGTGCACCACGGATGTCGTCGGCGGCCGCGACGCCGGCGTCACCAGCGTCGCCCTCACCCGCGACGCCCGCGCCATGCTCGTCGGCACCCTCGACAGCACCCTGCGGCTGATGGACCGCGACGACGGCGCCTGTCTGCGCGCGTACCGCGCCGACGGCTGGCGCAACGACGAGCTCCGCCTGCAGTCCGTCCTCGGCGCCAAGGAGCGGTACGTCCTGGTCGGGGACGAGATGACGGGGGACGGCGCCGCCGCCGAGACGGCGCCCAGCAACGGCGAGGGGAGGGTTCTGGTGTGGGATCTGCTTAGCGGCAAGATGGCCGCCAAGGTGCCGGTGCCGTGGGGCGGGCCCGAGGGCTACGAGGCCCGGAAAAAGGTCGTCGGCAGAGATGGCAAGGAAAAGGTGAGGAAGAATGTGGTGAGCTGCATGGCGTGGAGGGACGATGGCTGGGGAGACCAGTTTTGCGTGGGAGGCACGTCGGGCGTTGTCACTGTTTTTGCCGCTTGATTATGATATCCCTGTTTGCATATAGAGTTTGGTTTCGGGGTTTGATAATTCCGATTTGTCCGCCATGTAGGACAATATGAAGAATTAAATGTACATTGTAAGTGTAAAATCAGAAGTACCAAGGCTCTCGCTGCAAAACGCCGCTCAAAGCAAAACGCCGCTCAAAGCCGTGGCTCTCCGGCACCATTTCTATGTTACAGCCGCCAGTTTCCAATAGCTAGCAATGCGCCTTAACACCGCCAAAAAAACAAAGACCCGACTTATGTGCTTGTTTCTCATTTCCTTCTTTCGCGCCCCCACCGCACATATTTTGTGCTTGGGTTGTCGTCATAGTTTGTATTAGCAATACTTCCACCTCGACGTGGAACAGCTAAGCCGCCTTTCGTTAACATGAGCACTGTTTCATAAGCAGTGGCCTCGGCCTTTCGTTGGCGACGGTCTCGTCATCGATTTTAGTCCATGTGAGCGTACTTGAACCAGTTTGGTCGACAATCTTCACGGTGAAGGAATGGCTCTCCGTCTGTTAAGCGTCCAGTCACACACCCCTTGCACTTGGGCGAGTTGGGGCAGTTGAAAAAGGGAATGTGCTGGTATCCGATATCACGGAACCAGTGGACTTTGCTCTTGTCTTCGAAAAGACCAACGGCAATGCTGTGAACAGGGGCATCGCCCCAACGTTCGTAGAAGAAGCCGCCAGCCTTGTCGAGGTGGTTGAAGTAGTCGTCGTAGACCTGGCTGCGCCAAAACTCCATGTCGGCGACTTCGAAATTGGTCCAAAAATGGCAGGTCGAGAAGCCTTGGGCATTATAGTTGTGCTCGGGTCGGCGCTCGCTGTCTGTCACCCACTTCACAGCGTTGTTCTCCTTGAGGTATGTGGGGTGGTCTGCGAGAAACTTGGCGGTTTCGGGCCAGAGCGTGGGAAGCGTATTCGGGTCATCGTAGAGGGTAATGGTGAAGCCGTATGTCTTGTTGTTGTCATGCATGTAGCGGAAGACGTCATAGTCGACATCGCAGAAGAAGTGAACCTTGGGCTCGACACGCCAGTAGTAGCGGACATCCTTGAGAGCAGGATGCTTGTAGAACATGCCGCTGTTCCAGCGACACATTTGGTGGTACGACATCATCCTGGCATATTGCACGCCATTCTTCTCGAGGACCGTAGCAGAGGCGTCAAACATGTCCTTGTCGATCCAGGACGGCACGGCCCAGTGTTCCTTGGGGATCAGCTCTGCGACCGACTGTTAGTCGTCATCAATTGGGCGTGGTTGCTCCGGCTTGCACCTACCATAGTTGCACTTGGCTTTGGTAGCTGCGCTCGTCTTCTTCTTGAAATCTTCTGAAAAGGGCTCGTCGTTGAAAAAGGTCCAGGGGTAGTTGAACTTGTGATTCCATGTTCGCTCGAGATCGACCATGGAAGCGACCATGTCGTCTACTTCGCCATTTCGCACGAGAGCTAGCAGCGTCGCAGGTATGCGGTCGGTCTTCTTGGCATCGGGTGCGTACTTGGAAGAGGTGCGAACGAGGATACCCTCCGGTTCGCCGGTTGCTATAGGGGGTTAGCCAGCAGTCTCCAATGCGGCGGATGCGCCGAATGAGGACGGGATTCCTCACGATCCAGATTGGGGTCGCGCTCAAAGTTGGCATATCTGCCGGCGGGCCCGTAAATGGAGGCGGTGGGCTTGAATAGCTGGTATAGCAAGAAGCACCAAAGCACGGCGGCCAACAGGCCGAGCATCCTGACAGGACGCGCGATGGCCATGATGGCAGATGCTGTCGAACGGCGGTCGAAAAGTCGTACAGTCAAGGCAGGCGTCTAAGTCAAACATGGATCAAGTCGCGCAATGAGAACGACGCCAGGCGAAATGCGTCGATGGCCAGGCACAGATGATGGTCCTGAAGCTATTCGTGGACAAAACGTTGAGCCTCCATGGGCGAAAATTAAACGGGGGCGATCAAGATAGGGGCGATTCAGAGCATTGAACATGGTGGGGCGGCGAAGCCGTCAAGGCCGAACCTCGTGTAAATCGCGACAAGGTCACTAGTAATAATAGGTTACTCGCCGAGCATGCCTCAATATTTTGGAGAGCTGTTGGTTATATGAATTTCCAGACATAGCTTACTGTAGGGCGGATACCTTGGACTACCAACTTCATGGGCCTATGAACCCAAGAAAAGATATTCGCAGATGCGGCCCGGCCAAACGCTTCTAGAGGCTTTTAGCGAGTGATGCTGTAGCGCTTCGCGTACCAGGCCGTGCCCCGCCAAGCCGCTTTACGCGTTGTCTTCGCCTCAAGCATCAATTACCATTCACCGCAATCTCTACAAAGTGAACTGTCGACGCTCAAAATGTGGCTGGTCGCGTCATGGCGCATGCTGCACAGATAGAAAGCCTCACAGGCGACCTTGTTGAGGCGCTGACCCAGTCAAAGTCCCAGGTCTGTACCGTTCCCAAACCTCGACGCATACCCATGGCTAATTATCAACTAGACTGGCAAGAGCTTTCTTCGCACGCGCGATGCTGCTGTTCGGACATGGAAGACTCACAGATTTCTACGGACGAATCACTTTGAAGTAGAAAGGTCTCTGGCTGGTCTCGAGGAGAGATTTCGCGTCAACAGCAGAGATGCCCTCGCGGACGAGCTCAAGGCGCGTCTCGACCCGTTGCGAGATCTGAATTTCAAGTGGTATCCAGAGACTCTGCACTTGTTATTAGAACTGTCAGACCAGCCTACTTTCAATACCAAGCTGGGAGATATTGCACGCGTTTGCGCGGCCGACGACGGCGGCCTCAAACTACGATGGGAAGACATCGCCCAGGAAGACGGCTGGGCGCAAGATGCGGACATGTGGGACTCCATCAACTATAGCGACGAATCTGGAGATGAAGTCTTTGAGGGTGGTCCTGGCGATGAGTCGGACAACAGCTCCAACTTTGGTGGCGATGCTCCTCCCGGCAGAACAGCACAGGACCTCATTATTCAGCCACAAGACAATGATGCCTTGAAAGCAGTGCTGAAGCAGCAGGAGTGGAAACAAGAAGAGCCGACGGTGGATCCGAATGGAAGGGTTCGCAAAATCGGTCTCTCGGAAACGCAGGCTCTTCGTGAGGTGCTCTTCATGCTCCACGGCCTACCGACCACATTATTCGACGCCAATGGCGCGCCGGATCCTGTCTTCCAAATTTCCAACATAGCGTGGCAGACTCACAAGTCTCTTTTGACGACGTTTTCAGAAGCTGGAGGTTATGTCAGCATCTTGCGACGCTTTGCGGCCCAACGCGAAAAGGAGCCGCAGCTCCAGGCGCTGCAAGACTGCGTCGCGAAGCGCGTCGCTGTTTTGGACAGCCACCTCGTGCACATCCAGGAGCGGCTCGCTCGCCCTGCCGATCAAGTCGTCATCAGTCTGATTGCGGCGAGAGAGGAGCTGACGCCTTTTCTAGAGCCGCTGTTCAAGCTGTCTGGGCTGATCCTCAAGGTGCAGCAGAACCCCATGTCGGACAACTTTCGCTACCTCGAGCTGCTATTTGACGAGTCGAGCATGGCGCAGCTGACCGGGAACCAGCAGCTGTACGAGTTCCTGGCACGCATCTTTCTGGAGTGCTTCGCCGTCTATCTGCGTGAGATTCGGAGCTGGGTCGAAGAAGGCAGGCTGCTCCCCAGCGACGAGGCCTTTTTCATCTACCACGGCGCGGAAGACGTGCCGCTTGGTGGCATCTGGCAGCACCGGTTCAAACTGCGCCGGACAGACGACGGACAGCTTCTCGCGCCGGCTTTTGTGCACCCCGCCGCCGATAAAATCTACACGACGGGCAAGAGCATCGTCATTCTGCGCCTACTCGGCCGTCTCGAGAAGGTCGAAGACTGCCTGCGCAGCGAACAGGCGCAGATTCTCACCTACGAGTCCATCTGCCCGCCCGGCTTCGAATCCGCACCTTTCCCGGACCTCTTCAACATGGCCCTCGGCCAGTGGATCGACCGCAAGTACGCGGCCGTGTCGTCGGCCCTCCAGACGGCCCTCTTTGACGACTGCAGCTTCGAGCCCGCGCTACGCGCCCTGCACAGCGTCTACCTCATGTCCGACGGCGCGGCCGCCTCGTCGTTTTGCGAGCGCCTCTTTGCCAAGCTCGACGCCAAGGATCCCATCTGGCAGAACCGCCGCGCCCTGACAGCCTCGGCGCAGGAAGCTTTTTCGTCCGGCGGCGTGGTGGAGCCGAGCCGGTTGTCCGTACACGTCCTCGACGACGGGCGGCGCCATGTGTCGGCCACGGAAGCGCGCGGCTCCGTCGCGACCGCGCTGCCGCTGATCCAGGTCGCGTACCGCCCGGCATGGCCCGTGCAGATGATCCTCGACGCCGACAGCACGGCGCGCTACCAGGCCGTGTTTACGCTCCTGCTGCAGACCAAGCGCGCCGCGCACGCCCTGCGCGCCGCCCGCCTCCTCGCCGACCTGCGCACCGAAGACGCGGCCGACGACGCGGAGCTGGACGCGCGCGGCCTCTTCTACGCCGCCCGCAGTAGCCTCGTCTGGTTCGTCGACACGCTGCAGACATACCTTGTCACGGTGGTGCTCATCCCGCAGACGGCGCGCATGCAGCGCGAGCTGCGCGCCGCCGCCGACGTTGACGCCATGATGGCTGCGCATGCCCGCTGCGCCCGGCACATGACGGACCAGCTGTGCCTCGGCGCCAAGCTGGAGCCACTGCGGGACGCCATCCTCGAGGTGCTGGACCTGGCCCTCCAGCTAGAGTCTGCGCGGGCCAAGAATGCTGGCGCGGGGACGGACCGGGATGGGGACGAGGGCATGAGTGGCGGTAGCGAGGCGTACGTGGTTGTGCTGAGGCAGATCCAGACAGACTTTACGCGGCTGCTGCGGTTTATATGCGGCGGGCTGCGAAGCGTGGCCAGGGCCGTGAGTGGCGAGGATGCCATGCGGTGGGATGTGCTGGCGGATATGCTGCAGCCGGGGCACGGCGAGGATATGTAGTTAGCAGGCCATTCACACGCATGGTGACGAGTATAGACAGATGCGTGAATCCCATTGAAACTACAACGTATTCCAAATTTGACGCCGTTATATTAGACGGCAACTTTATACTGTATTGAAATGTCCTATATCGTTCTATGTGGATCTTTGCATAACTAGTGATTGTAAAAAATGGTATCTATAGTCTGTATATGTTCATCTGGACGGCCCTGCGGCCATTTCAGTCCAGACGCCGTCTTTGCTCCAGACGCCGGCCTTTGTGTAGTCGCCGGCAGTGTTATCCACCATGAAGCCGAAGCGAAAGTACTCTGGCAAGCCGAGACTCGAGTTGCGCGTCCAGGTATACTCGCGCGCCGGGGTGTCCGTGTCGTCAAAGTAGGCGCGGTAGCGCTCGACGTCGTTGACGAGGACGCTGATGCCGTCGTACGTCTCGAGGGGCGGGAGCTCCCACCGAAAGGTGATGGTGGACTGGGCGCCAGCGGTGGCGTTAGCCCAGTCAATGGCCGGAGCGCGGACGCTGGGGAGCAGCGAGCCGAGCTGGGCGTCGCCCTGGAGCGCGGCGTCGGTCTCGAGAAAGGAGCCCCAGCCCCAGCGGGCGATGCCGTTGATGAAGAGCCCGACGAGGAGGCCCTGGTAGAGCAGCGAGGGCCGCGTCTGCATGCTCGTGCCGGGCAGCAGCAGCAGCGCGAGCACGTAGTGGTGGATGCGCAGGTTCAGCCCCGGCAGGAGGAGGGAGAGCACGATGCCGGCGACGAAGAGCGCGTACAGCTTGATGTACCGGGTGAAGCGCGCCTCCTGGCGGAAGCACCACGCCTGCAAGACGACAATGACAAAGAGCGCAATGACGATGACGGCGAGCGCCGCGCGCGCGCCCGGCTGCTGCGCGAGGTCGTGCCCGCTGAGCCGCTGGATGGGGATGAAGTCGAGCGTGTAGTTGTCGAGCGCGCCGACCCAGCAGGCGCCGAGCCAGAGGACAATCTTTTCCACCTGCGCCGTCAGGCCGCCGAGCGTGCGGCGCACGCCCATCTTGTCGTACACGACCCAGCCGGCAAACATGGCGGGCACAAACCGGCCGAGGATGGTGGAGAAGAGCGCGGCGACGGTCGTGTGCGACGGCGCGTCGGTCGCCATGCCGACCGTCCAAAAGGCGCCGACAAAGGTGGGAAAGTAAAACGCGGCCGGCGAGGCCGTGCACAGCCCCAGCACAGCGGAGAAGACGACGGACAGCGCAAGCAGGGAGAAGCGCGCGTCGGTCGCGCGGCACTCGACGGGGACAAACTGGAACGCCTGCGGAAAGTACGAGGGGAAGCCGACGCTGGCGATGCCGTTGCGCTCCGACGCGACAAAGTCCTGGCGGTGGCCGACGAGGCGGACGACGCCGCAGCCGCCGTCCGTGTTGGAGACGACGCCGGCATGCACGGCGGCGCCGCAAATGTACGAGTCGCCGCGGTACGTGGCCGACGCAACGGGATCGTCGAGGTCCGTCGTCGGCCCGCCGACGATCAGCGGGCGGTAGACGACCTCCTGGTCGCCGACGGCGCGGGGATTGAGCACGCGGTAGCTGGCGCAGTTGCCGGGGCAGCGGAACGGCAGGGCAGTGCCGTTGAAGGGGCGGCAGTCGGCGCCGTCGACGCCGCACGTGTTGCCGCGCGAGAAGTATGCCGCGCCGCAGCCAATGGCCTGGGGCCGGCCCCAGCCGCCGGCAATCTCCCCGGAGACAGTCTCGCGCCACTTAATGAGCGCAAATGCAACGACCCAGACGGCGAGGTAGACGAAGAGCAGCCACTGCCGGCGCCGGCGCCCGGGGAGCAGCCGGTTGAGCGCGCGCAGCGGGAATTCCTGCACAGACGGCAGTAGAGGCCGGATGCGGTAGGGACGGGCGTTGGGCGGCCCGCGCGTCCAGCGTGCAATGGCTCGGCCGGTGCGTTCGAGGGGATAGGGCACCCAGGCGGGCCACTTGCGCTGGGAGGGGGAGGGGGCATCGCGGGTGGTTTGATGCTGCTGCTGCTGCTGTTGGTCCTGGAGGAAGCGAGGGGTGGGCGTGTTGTCGTCGTCGTGGGAAGGGTAGAGGGCGGAGGCGACGCTGGAAGAGGTGTCCTCGGGCGTGGCGGTGGTGGCTGTCAGAGTCTTGTTCTTGCTGGTGTCATTATTGTCGTCGGGGCGCCCGCGCCCGCGCTCCTCGGCGTCGTCGTCGTGCATGGCCATGAGCGGTCTGTTTTCGTCGTCGTGCTCACCCGTCATGATGCAACCATGGCGGTGCGAGTGAATTGGGACGGCGACGATGTGATGAGAGGACTGGCAGATGGAGAGGGAGAGGAGACGAAGGGATGGGGGAGGCAAAGAATGAATACGACTCCTTCACGCTTGGCGATGTTTGCAGCCTTGGCTGGGCTCGGCCGAGCGTTGGATTGTGGATTAACCGTTCCAGCCCAGTTGTGGGGCCCCTTTTCCGTGTCCACGTCAGCCTCGCCTCGTCTGATCATAATGCACCCATCAACTCTTGCACCTTTTCGCCCAGACTCTTATGTCTTGCGGAATGTTCTCTTGTCGAATCGAGTCTCTTGCCGCTTTCGTCATCATCTGGAACCGTCCTTTTGACTCGGTCGGCACAGACAAGATTCGCTGTCCGTTTCTAATTCTGGCACCTCGCTGAGACAACACCTAGCCTAGACCATGGGAAGCCCAATGAACACATTCAGCAAAGACACGAAGAATTCCTTCTTTTCAACCATGGTTTCTTTATTGTCTCTCGGCTTCGGTCCAATAACATACGACAAAAAATAATACCTGTTGTTCGAAAGTATCCTTTTGGAGATTCGATGGCCTACAGTTTGGCCCACCCGTTTGAATAGAGATGCTTGTATTCAACCTCTATCAAAACGACAGATATGTTGATTAGATGGCGGTGCTTAAGAGAGGGAGAGCAGAGAGGGAGCGCAGAAACTAGCGAAACTGACGCATGCCACAGACAAGCCATTCAACACCAATGTAGCGTGATATCCCAATTCGTCTACAGCCATATCCGAACAAGAGCGTGATGTCCCATTCTTCTACACCTATATCCGAACAGGAGGGTCTAGAATAGACCAATATATAACAGACACATTGTCGCCATAGCCAGCTCCCTTCCCTGCCATCCGAAACTCCCGCACCAAATCCTCGCCGGGCCTCCACCGACCCGTCACAAACCACACCCGCGGCCGATCCCCATCCATGCCACTCCCGTCCACCCACGGGCTCGTCCTTCCCGGCGTGCCATACCACACGGCCCACGGGGGCGCCTCGTCCGCGCCCCTCCGCGCCACCAAGCTCGCCGTCTGCAGCGCCGGCAGCCGCGCCAGCAAGCCCGCCCAGGCGCGCAGCAGCGGGCCCATGACATCCTCAGCCGGCCGCTCGCAAAACAGAAACGGCCGACCGTCGGGCGCGACGCCGTCGTGCTGCTCCGGCTGCAGCGTCGCGTACGCGGGCCGCCAGTCGGGCGGCGTGTCCAGCGCAAGAGGGCTGTACGGGTGGCCGTCAAAGTAGAACTGGCCGGCGGGCGTGAGCAGCGCCATGCGGACGGCCAGGTGGCGCAGCGCGTGCCAGCCGTTGTCCCCCCCTGCCGCCGCCGCCGCCGGATCGAGAAAGAGGGACGGGCCGACGACGCCGGCATACGACAGCTCGGTTACGTGGGCCGTGGCCGCGCGCAGCTTCGCGTACAGCCCCTCGTAGCTGTCCCGGCCGACGCTGCTCGCCGCGGAAATGCCGGTGCCCAGTCTTCCGATCCGCAGCGTCAAGCCGACGTTTACAATCTGCCGCCGCTGGGACAGCTGCTCCGCCAGGGCGTCAGCGAAGCCATTCCGCGAGCGATCCCGGACCTCTTGCAGCTCCGACTCGGCGTAGTGCCACACCACGCTCTGCAGGCCGGGAAAGCGCCTCACCAGGCTCGCCTGCTCCGCGAGATGCAGCTGCAGCACATCGCGCCGCCCCCTTTCAGTTGCGGGCGTCGCGGGCGTAAAGTCCAGCGTGCGGACGCAGGCCGCCACGTCGAGCGGCGCGCCATGGTCGCGGTCAAACACGATGCCCTGCCGCGTGCGGTGCCGCAGGTCCGGATGCCCGGCCACGAAGCGCAGCGTCAGGTCCAAGGCCGCCGCTGCCGCCTCGCCGCTGAGAGCGGCAAACAGGGGCTGTAAGGCGTCCGGCCGGACGCCGCCGTCGGTCCAGTGCTCGTGCGCGAGGGCTAAGACGACGGTGAGCGACCGCAGGTAGGCGCGGCGCTCGGGACGGCGTGCCAGCGCGGCGCGGAGCCGGCCGAGACCCGGGTAGCCGAGGACCAGGTGGGCGTAGACGAGCGGCTCGACGGCGCGCTGCCACCGGTAGCAGAGGACGGCGGCGGATGCCCGGGTCCAGTACCGGGGCGGGGGTCGCGTTTTCGGGTCGTCGCGTCTGGGACGTACATGTGAAAAGAGCTGCTTCACGATGCTGGCCTTTTTTCCGGATGCGCTGCCGCCGCCTGTGTCTGCTGCGGGCGGGTCAGCCATTGGAACCGGCCCGGCGGGAAGCAGCGCGGCGATGCGGTCAATGAGTTCCTGCGACAGTCGGTCCATCCTGGGAAGCAGCTGATTCTGTGCGCTCCTTTTCGGCGGCTATACGGCGGCTGCATCATGGGCCAAAGCACAAGTTGTTTGTGGCTCACTTTGCAATGGACTGTTCAGGTAAGAAACGAGGCGTTCCAGCTGGCTTGGCACAGCAGAGCCCAGCGGAGCCCAGCGGTCAGCCTTAATGAAGACGATGCTCAGCATCGACGCAAAACCATTGAGGGGCCAATTGTAAGAAAATGTCCGAGATTCAAGTTTCTTGTACTAAATAAGAAACTAGTCGCAGCATACTTTACAATATTATTGTGTGCCCATTTGTGCTCGACTGTTACCAGCCGCTTGTCTACTATTCCATCATATGACATCAGGTCTTGCAGGCCCTTTGGAACTTGCGCAATCAGGTTGACGACCCATCCATTCCTATACAACACTCCAACACTCATCTAGAAATCGCGGAAGTCGACCCGGGGTTTGCTATAGATAGGACGCTGACCCAACGGCATGAAGGACGGTGCGTCCCCGGCGTGCAGATGGCATGCAAGGCTGCGCCTGCACAAGTCTGGAAATGGATATCGGTATCATCGGCACGTTTTTACGACTGCATTTATTCTCGGATCGTACACACAGAGTGTCACTTGACGGTCTTGACGAGTCTAGCCCCCGGATCAGCCCATCTCAAGTCTATCCGATGGGCAGCGCGTGGTTGCCATCCCGCGCATCGGATCTATATTTTTGAACTGTTCAAGTCAGCCCTACTTCGCAGATGACTACGGAATGTGGCAAGTCGAAGCACCGCAATAGAGTCCTGCATGTCGTGTGGTACTTGGAGTGTCTTCTGCAAAGGCAGTATTACCCTCAGCTTGGTATACCACCAACCCGTCACCATTGCTTTCACAAGCCCCATGCTTGCTTCCATTGCTCTCCTTTTTTCTTCCGTTATGCGACCGACTGTTCAACTCAATCAATATCCGCCACCATCGATCCAAGCGCACTCGTCTCCAACCACGCAGTCATCTGCGAACGCAGACAGGCGAGGACCCGAAACCCGGCGGGCGACCCGGGAAGTGCGGGAAGTGGGGGTGGCAGCCACGTCTACATCACTTGCTTCAGCTCTGCCATCTTGGAACTCGTCGAGCACCGGTTCTGTCTCAACCCCTCTGGACATGACATCAGCGCTCTTCCGACTGCTCTCTACTAGACTACAGGTGTAGCTCCGACATAAGCCTCTGTAGTAATCCAGTGAGCGAGGTGTAGGGAATCAAGTGTGCCTCTTCCCTTGGGCCTACTGTCTTCTAGATCATGTCGTTGGCTCGTTTGGGTGGTCAGCCCTGCAGGAATCAAGCTTCGGATTCCCGCCCGGGGTGTTGTACAAGACATGCGTATGGGGTGCGTCACGGGCGCCGACTGCACAGCTAGCTGCAGTCTCATCACATATCCCTGCGTAGCTGAAGATTTCAAGTATCAATTTGTCTCTTTTCGTGTGCATATCGGAAGCGCTCCCGAGGCTTGCAAGACCAGCTTAGGATCCGTCTCAGCGCATCAATCATCTCATCCGGAGCACCACTGTGAAGAGAGGAATGCTTGGCTCTCGCGGATGACTGAGAGCGTTGCAGCATTCTTCCCGATATAGTACACTGCAGCGTGATCAGATGCGGAAGCACGTCGGACGGCTCTTGTTGCCCTTTGCCGAATTTATATGCGCGCCGCACATCGACGCGCCAATATTGGCTTTTTTTTTTTCGGCAACTGACTCAAGCTACAGCTGCGCGCTTTAGCTTACGAGCATCTATTCAATGTCATCGGGCTTTGACCAACGGGTGCATGGAAGATGCCGGTGGCTGATGACCTCGTGCGCATGGCTTCACAGACAAGCAGGACCTACCCGCCAATACATGCTGTATGACGGCCAGGTGGACTTTGAGCCGGCAGGATATCATACATGATGCATTTGGATCAGCAACGAGGCGGTTCTGAGAATGGCTGCGAGGTATTTCGTCCGTCTTTATTGACACCCTGTGTTCAGCCCGGAGCTTTTGTCTCGGGTGTCTCTCGCGGAAGCATAGCAAGACTGTCGGTGGTTCAATCATTCGAGCCAGCTTCCTCGAGGCGTCCATGTGACAAGTCAATTTATGCTGCGTTGTATACGTACTGTCCTGAGTAGATAAATAGAACAGTTCTGGCCAAGTTCTAGCGTGCATATTCGGTTTTCTTCTTCCATAAAGCCATTCCCATCAACTATCACTCCTCAATCATCAATCACCAATTGCCCCTTGTACAAGCAAATACTTCAAAGCCAGCTGCGATGCGTCTCTCCCTATACACGACGGCCGTCAGTGCCATGCTTACCGGAGCGTCGGCTGCTGGACTTCAAGTATGCCTCAACGCTGCCCCAACAAGCAAATGCTTCAATATCGGTATCAATATTCCTAATTTATGCTGTATGTCGATCCCTCTCCCGTCCGAGTATGGCACGGAATGGCCAGCTCTCCCCAGTGTCGATGGTGTGCTGATGCTCGCAAAGTCCCCGTGACTCTCCCGCCGACCGTAGTATCGTACAAGATCGACGCTGCTTGCGGAGAATGCACCTTTTATTACGGGTAAGCTTTGGGAGGTTCCTCGTAAGAAGTACAGGCACTGACAAGTGTAGCAAAACCCATTGTACCGGAGCCTCCTTCACCGCAACAGGCCCTGCACAGGGCCCCCTTACCGACGCGATCAAATCTGTCAAGTGTACCAAGACGTGTTAGAGAGTCGCAATGGATAGCGCACTGGGATGGTTCAGCTCTGGGCCGAGTTTTTTCCCACCGGGTTTCCTCTGCCTGTTACGCAGATGTGAGAGCTTGACTGTTTATTCATGATGTGTACGCCAGACTATATTCAATAGCAAGACTATCAGGGAATAATGGTGCCTAAATTCAGGGGTTTTGAAGCCGCTCTGTAGTCGAACCGCATTGATTTCGTCGCCTCAGTTTCTTCATAATGGCAGTCTGTCAATGTGGCTCCTGCGACGTCAGCTCTCAGGTAACCCCGTTTTCGATTCACTAAGGTCCAGCCATATACCTTCAGTATCTCTTTCCTTTCTTTGTCTTCTCTCAAAATCACTGTTGAAATATCATTTACTACTTCTACTCGCTGTTTGACTTACACGGAAACTCCGGCATAGACTCGCAGTGGAGTTGCCCGGATAGGCACCCGTCTTTCGGCATCAATATGGGCGCGAGTGCGGTCATGATATCTCTATCCAACTGGACGGCGGTCTTCTAACAAGTCCCGTTTTTTTTTTTCTCTCTCGCATAAATACAAGGAAGAATGTTGGTTGTTGTGTTGCATTGACATTGTCCGGCCCTTTATAGCGCGTGGCGTAGTTGCGCCCGGAATTGGTCACGCCAACGTACTGAAAGCTTCACCCTTTCAAATCACAATTACACTCATATCGACTCTTCTCTACATTTCCGGCCTCCCTTTTTATCCAGTAGAGCACAAGCCCGTGGAACAAGTCGACCATCAGCATCCTCGCCGCCACAAGCACATCGGCGCCGGTCCGACATGCCCATCCCTTCCGCCGAGCCTGCACCCCGCCATCCGGCGCCGAGCTTCATGGTCCTGCCGGCCGAAGTGCGCCTCGAAATCTACCACCACCTCCTGCGCCTCCCCCCCATTACCCCCGACGAGTCGTCTGCCGCCTCGCGCGTGTCCACCGCGATCCTGCGCACGAGCCGGCTCGTGCACGCCGAGTCGGCGGCGGTGCTCTACAGCGGCAACACCTTTGTGGCGCACCCGTCGCTGCTCGCGGCGTTTCCGCGCCTGCGGCCGTGGTACGCGCCCGTGTGCGCCGCCGCCGTGCTGCCGCGCATCCGCCGCTTCCACCTGACGGTGCGTCTCGACCGCGACCCCGCGTTTGACCGGCGCCGCGCGGCGGCCGCGTTTTCCGGCGCCGAGGTGCTCGAGGTGCGCGTCGTGCAGTCCGTGTTTCTCGGCGCCGGCCGCGAGAACCTGCGCATGCTCGAGGACGTCCGCGGCGTCCAGACGGTCACGGTGCGAGGCAGCACGACCGGCTTCGAGGGCTACGTGCGCTGGCTGGTGCGCCTGATGCAGAGCCCGCTGGGAACCAAGGCCGTCATGTTGACGCCTGAGGAGGAGGGTGTCGCGGTTGAGACGGGTACAGGGACATGAGGGACTAGACTTCCGTCGTGACAGCAAGTGTTGAGTACTCTGTCTTCTCGATGTCGTCACCCCGTCACCCAATGCCCCAGCTTCCAAGCTCAGCTCTTCACCCTTTTTTCAGTGGCATGTTGCAAGCAAATAGCAAGTCGCTAGTTGTTGACGATGCAAGAATGTCCAGGACGACAGTACACCTCGTTCCTTGCCAGGATACACACCCAGCCTCCCATCCTCGACTCTTGCCCAACAGCAGGTGGTGCTTCTCATGTCGGCGCAGAGACGATTCAGCGCAACCGTCATGTTCAAGGCATCGTTGCGGTGCCGGCGGCCGTCTAGTCGATCAGGGCGACGAGCCGCGCGCACTCACACTCGACGTAGCACGGGATAGGCGGCTGAGGCCGTACCGGCACGGCCCACGGCAAGGGCTGTTTGGGGGTAGTATCCTCATAGTTCTTGTGCTTTCTCCTTGCAGAGCTTGCCTCTTGCGCTCTGCGGCCACATCCCTCCTTGGTCAACGTTTGTTTGACCGACAAATATTTAGCAGGGCGCAGCAGCATTCTGCGATGCCTGTACGCCCGCCAATATTTCACAACAGTGGCACAAACCATTTATAGAAACAGCTCCTTCGTCTTAATTCTGTAATGTATTTTTTTGTCTATTCCGTCTCTAATTGTTCTTTCTTCTCGCTTGTCTACCAATGTATCGATTCCAAAAGCTGTTGTCGCCTCTACTCTGTTTCTTGTTATACAGGACAAGCGGCATGGGCATGGCAAAGAAGATGCGCGCAAAACAACGAAACCACAATAACCAGTAGAATCTAACGCGGTAAGAAAAAGAAAATCAACAAAAGAGACAGAAAAAACTGGTAAACATCGGTTGCGCCGCAATGCCTTCCCTGTGTCCGAGTAAAACGCCGTTGTAAAGTCAGGTATGATGCTAAATAAAACATGAAACAAAAGCCAATACTTCGCATCATTAATGCCCAAACAAAGGAAAATGAAGTTCCAGTCTATCTCTTTTTCCCACTCGTCTATCTCAGTCTTTTTTGCAAAAACAGAAAAAATACAAGCTCCTTGCCCTTAGGGAGAGCAAGAGGTCTTTCTAGGAGGAAAGGAAACGAGGTTTATTGAGCCGCACCGCCGCCGCCAATGGCACGAGGCAGGGTCTTCCAGGCCTGCTCGTTGGGAAGTTTGGCGCGACCAAAATCCTCGTCCAGATCAAGAATAATCTTGAGGGCGTTGCGGCTGCGGCCGAATGGTGTCGTGTCCTGGGCCGCCGTGGAGGACTCGCCGGTCACACTAGGGAGCTCGGCCTTCTTGCCGGGTAAGGGTAGGGCGTTCTGGAGAACTTCGTAGGCGGCAAGGGTAAAACCGAACTGGGGAGAGGAGCGGAAAATGCGCGCGGGGCCGCCCTTGAAGAAGGCCGTGAAGCCCTCCTCCTTCAAGATAGTCTTGGCGGCGTGGCGCAGACCAGTGTACTGGGCCTCGCCCTTACGGGCCTCGACCTGGAGACGCGTCTTGATCACGTCGCATGGCGTCGTCAGGTAGGCGGCGGGCATACCAGCAATGGCACCGGCGGTAAGGAGCTGCAGGACGCTCAGCTTGTGAGTCGCGGACTCGCCGAAAAAGTCCTTCTTCAGGTGGTTGTAGGTCGGGAAGTAGATGGCGGAAAAGGGCACATCGCGGAGTAGGCAGGCAGAGGCACCCTTGTAGAGACCGACGAGACCGAGATTGCGGACGATCCACATGGCAGAGCGCTTGGGAGCGCCATCGACAGTCTTGGCGACCTCGCCCTGGATCTGGAGACGAATCTTGACGATTTCGAGGGGGTTGGTGAAGACCTAAGCGCGTTAGCTAAAAATCCATGAGGGCGGAAGGCCGTCACTTACAACTTGGCAACCACCGGCGCTGGCACCGGCGAGAATTTCGGCCCAGAGGTTAATATCGCCCTTCTTGCTGGTAAAGTGGCGCCGGACGAGATCATTGACAGTCAGCTTGATGGCCTTTTCAGGGGCGACACCGACAAGCTGGGGAAGAACACCAGAGTAGAGACCACGGAAGCCCTCATTCTTGACAACCTTTTGGAAGCAATCAATCGAGTTCTTGTACAGGCGCTGGCCCGGCTGCGCACCACGCTGGTTCTGCAGACGGGTCTTGACCAGATCAATGGGGTAGACCATAAAGGCACCAAAGGCACCAGCCAAACTGCCGAGACCAAAGCTGTGGACGGACTCGAGGACGTTCTGAAGTATGCTTCCGCCCGCCGGTTTCGTGGCCTTGACAATGGCAGCGAGGTCGAGCGAATCGGCCGGGTTTCTCCACGAGGGGTCAAGGACCTTGGCAAAGTCACGCAAGCCGAGGCGGCCCGAGGGTTCGTCGAGGCTGGCGAAGTGGAAAAGAATGTCGGCCTCCATAGGGGTGAAGAGGGAGAAGCGGGTGACCTTGGCGGCCTCGTGGAGGAATTCGGTACGGGTAATCTTGCCGTCGTTGCTCCGATGGACGGCACGGCGGACAATCTGCTCGACCAGGTCCATCTCCTTAATCATGTTCTGGAAGGCGCGGACGTTGGCGTAGGAGATTTTGGAGCCCTTGGAGATGTTGCAAAGGGTGTGGAGGTTGTCGAGAAGATGGTCAGAGAGCTTGTGCTTGGAGGTCTCGAGAATGATGCGCTCAAACTCGTCGGGCTCAATGTAGCCGTCGCCGTCCTTGTCGAAGAGCTGGAACGCCTGGCGGATGCGCTCGCCCTGGAGGCCGCGCAACATCTGGGAGAACTGGGGGTAGTCGAGGTTGTGGCGCTTGGCGCGGCTGCCAATGTAGAGCTTGGCCCATTCGCAGTCCCAGTCAAAGGGGATGTTCTCGGGGCCTTTGTTGAGCTCGTAGAGGCGGCGGAAGTCGTCATACTTGACGTTGCCGGTGCGCTCCACGTCAAAGAGACGGAAAGCGATTTCGTACTCGGCGTCGGGCTTGGCGAGGATGTTTTCAAAGACGTGCCAGTCGCTCAGGGAGACTTTGCCCTGACCGCGGCGATCAGCGATGCGGAAGAGGATCATGTACTGCTCGCGGCGGATTTTGTGCTACATGCGGCGGACGGTTGGTTAGCAACGTTTTTTTCAATTGCACTCGTTTGTCTTAATTTCCGTTCGTTTTTGCCTGCGCAAACTCTTCATTGGCAATTGGGGCACGCGACTCCATTTGCGCAGCCAGCAAACAAGCGCTGTGACACGAGGGATGTGGACAGGGAAAAAAAACAGGTAGGCTTACAAAGTCCTCATTCTCAGGAGCCACGGCATTGATGAACTCGTCCGGACCCAATGACAGCTCGCCAGTCTCATCCTTGACGGCACTCCTCGTAAAGCGCGCCTTGCTCTGTGAAGACGGTCCGGCGGCTTCGTCGGAGCCGAGGACCGTCTCCTTGACAGCCTCCTTGACTGCAGATGCGCTGGTAGCCATGACTGTGTGTGCGCCCGACTCGATTCCGGGTGACTCGTAGGGATGCAAAGGGGAAAGAAAAAGGGATAATAAAAATTCACGATCCAGAAACAAATCCGGGGAACGGACGGGACGGACGGACGGGGGGGGGAGAAGAGAAGAGATCGGAAGGGGGCGTGTGGTCTGGCTGAGAGGGAAAAAAAAAAGTTTGGGGAAGAAGTCTATTGGGGGAGCAAGGAAGCAGCCATCAAACGGCGCTTGGGGGACAGAAATTCGAGAGCGCCAAAAGTCGGGGACAAAGTCGGAGTGCGCGGCGGACCGGTAATGGCTCGGGAAGCGTGGCTGGCTGAGAGGTACCACACAAGTACCTTTGGAGACAAAGGCGTGGCCCGTCGATCCAGGGCACTTCAAGTGGTCCAGGTACCTGAGCCGTCCCTTAATATTACGCTATGGTCCCCTTGTTGCCGTGATTGTATTTTTAGTGGCTTCGCCCCCCCTCCCCTTTCAAAAGTCGGCAACATGTGCCAAACCACCGTCGGTCGGCCAAATAGGTACCTCGCATGTACAGCATCACAAGACACCAACCCATCAGCCCGCTTATTACTACAGGCGCTGGAGCACCACACAGCGCAAGTTGCCCAGCAGGCTCCTGGCTTACGAGAGAATGTGAGATGGGGCGAGATAAGCCTGCGTAAGTCGCACCAAGAACCTTGTTTGCAGGGTCCAGTTACCCAGTGGTCAAACATCGTGACACATATTGGGAATTGGGGGAGGGGGGAGAACCTCAGGGTCAGAAATGTGAACAGAGAGGCGGTCCTCGGTGTGACGAGCTTGCTTTGCCCGCCCGCTATACCGTGAAGCGGGACCAAACTAGTTGCGAGCCACAAGGCACAAGCCTGGGCAGTGAAGCCGCCACGCGACAGAAGTATAACCCTCTTGCCCCCCTCCATTCGCCCACCAAGGTTCACCCCGAAAAAGCCAAAAACGGGGAGTTCCGGTTGAAGGGGTGCCTCGGCTTGTCATCGTCCTTGATGGCAAGATTGCGCTTTGAGCCTCCCGCAGCGTAGCACGCACACGACCACGACGTCGCAGTGATCGCTCAGTAGGATGCCTAGATGGTACCCTGCTGAACAAAATACCACGCAAGGAGACTCGCCTATAAGGCGCCAACGCTTATTCTCAGTGCGGTTCGGCAACTGTGGGTATGGCTACAAATAGGTGGTAACGAGGGGTTTTTAACTACACACACTTTGTAAAGAAACGAAACACCCTTCATGAGTCATGCAGCCACATCTACAGTTCAGGCGGCTCGTCAAACGGTGGCAGTCCGCAAAGTCGCCCGCCAGCGGCTAACATAGTAGTAGGGCTGCCTGCATCTTTAAAGTGCAGGACAACACGTGGTTCCTTCGCCCGAGGCGCTTCAACCAAGACACTCTCTCAGTATGAGCATCGGTAAGAGCAACCAAAGCGGCAAGGCCCGGCCGGATATGCGCTCTTTGGACCTTTCGATCGGACTATTGTTCCATTAATAATTAGCATGCGGTCACAGACCGCTGTTGTTCAACTCTTGCAACTATTACTTGGTACAAGTACGCGCGAGTCAAGTACAGTGCGCCCAGGCCTCATCATGAAACAAAATGTGAGTGCAATAGCAATCTGCCATTTGTATCTATTTTCGTAAGACATTCTCGTCGAATTAAGTATTTTGAGCCATTATAGAAAATTCCATCCCGCAGCCGAGCCTCATGCAAGTCATAATACACACACAAACTACACTAGAAAATGTCAAAGGCAAAACAAAACCGAGTCCTAAACACCGAAATAACCTTTATCCCTCAATTGGCGGTAATAGTCCGCTTGTGTACTGTAAATGTTCCAAACTGTCGTGCGGTTGCACGGGTTGCGATTTTAACGCCCGCATCGGCGTTGTGTGGTGTGGTAGTGTAAATCCGATGTCCAGAGCGTGCTGCACAATCGTCGCAGCCTCCTTAAACCTCTTTTCACTGTATTTCTCGTAGACTGCGGCGTGATGCCGATGGGGGTGTTCGCAGCACTCAACCAGCATCATCACGAGGGGTTTGAGCTGGCTCCATGTGTAGCCAGAAAAGTAGACGTGGGCCTTGGTCTGCAAGAAATACATGTTAGTCAATTATACCAGATGTATACATGCGGCTGCACATACCCAGTCACCCTTTTGAAGAATGAGTCTCGATAGACAGTGTGCGCCGGCTGCCAGGAAGCTGGGTGGTGAGGCGACAAATCTCTCATCCATAATGGTGAGCTCAAGAAAGTATTTGGCCAGCGTACGAGTGTCCAGGTCATAGTCATCGGCCTTGCTGACCCTGCGCAGGAAGCTCATTGGGCCGGGCCAGCCGAGCTCAAAGTTAAGCATGCTAAGCATGAAGCGCTCAGCCTTAAGGATTTCCTCGGGTGAGTAGCCGTTGTCGACCATGAAGACAATTTCGTCCATCGACGGGCAGTTTATTTCCTCGTACTTGGATGCGACAAGTAGAGCCGTGGCGCCGACAAGCTGCAGCTTTGTGACTGAGATGATCTTGTACGACAAGAAGCGATCGATGTAGTTGACCGTGAGATATAGTGTCTCTGGGAGCAAAGCAAAGCGGCTGTGAACTTGTACTAGCCAGTCCATCAGGACCGATCGCATGGACCATTGTATTTCTGTTTGCATCTCCATGTAGTGGGGGTTGGGAAGCATCTTAATCTGCTCCGCGGTTAGCCTCCGTTGGCAACATATCATGCTCCAAGGTTGCATCTACTTGCCTCAAGCTCGTGCAGATAGTCAAAGATTTCGTCACCATACTCGGCCACCATACTGACGTCCCAGACCTCGTCTTCGAAATCGGCTACAAATCTCGAGTTCTCCACCTCGACTCTAGCCTCCTCCAGCTCCCGTTGAACGCGGGCGGTCAGGCGGGGAGCGAGCAGGGTTGTGGCACCGACAGTGGTGTAATCTCTTGATCGGAAGCTGTTCGCGGTGGTATAGGCTTGATCTTGATCCTCGTATTCTTCGTCCTCTTCTTCGTCCCACTCTTCAGGTTCGGAAAGAGCAGGGTATGAAGACTCTTTGTATGAATGGCTCGTCGTGGGCCGCGCCTCGGCAACAGCAGAGACGCCAGCCGCGTGTGACACGGACTCAGCCGCGTGCGCTGGTTGCTGTGATTCAGAGTCGATGTGATATGGGCCCGTGTCAAAATAGACGGTGTGGCCACTCGCCTGCTCGATGGCAGGAACTTGCATTTCAGCAAACTCGGGCTCTTCCGGAATGTCGAAGTGTGTTGACTCGTAGTCAATCTTTTCGAAAAACTTGCTCTGCGTTCTACGCAGGGAGGGTTGCTGAAGCTTGAGCTGGGGCTGGCTCTTGTAGTGTCGAGGTTGCTTTGCAGCGTATGATGTGTTGGCTTGAACAAGTGCAGCGACCTGGTCCTGATTTTCCCTAGAGTGTCGTGAAGGAGGCACGTTGGCAGCGGCATTGAGATGTTGCTGAGCAAGCGGGCGGTGCTGATGATGAGGAGGCTTTGGTGCGTGAATCGATTGGCTCTCGGAGAGCGGCTTGATAATTTTGTTTCCAAGAGCACCGTGGCGCAGAGCTGCACGGGACAGCGAATCTTTGCTGTAGGAGGTATTCTCCTTATTCAGATTCAATCCGGTGGAACCAAGCGTCGATACCGCAGCCGGCTGGACCTTGAGAGCAACCTTGGCATCATCGTGAGCTGTAGAGTGCCTCGACGTGTTGGTGACATCGCCAAAGGCAGCACGCTTGGCCGGGCCGCGAAAGCCCGCGGCGGCAGCGGACACCATACCGGCAAGACTTCCAGTAGACTTGTGACGCTGGTGCAGATTGGGTGCAATGTTGTTTTCGGAGGTAAGGCGTCGGAAACGTTGCTGGAAAGCGGCAGGCAATGTTATTAGTACTCGCAACCAAGATGCTCGCAAAGGGGGAATAAACGAAGAACAAGGCAGGCAAAGACGACGGTAAGAACAGGCGGAATAAAATGAATTAAGAAAGACGGTAACAATTGCCGTCAATGGCTAGGCCAAGAGAGAAAAATTCGCGAAGAGGGAGAGGGCGGCACGTTTGGAGCAAACTCACCCGAGTGTCCATGTTGTTTGGCAGCTGCCAGGCAGTGATTTCGGCTGCACGACAACGGAGTCGACGAAGGAGCTGCGGTTGCCACCAACGGACGCGAAATGGGAGAGTTCCGAGGATCCCGTGGAAGTAACGAGTCGCAAGGCGCTTCTATCTCATCTGCACTTTTCTTTTCTCTCTCTCTTTCGTTCCCGGGGTTTCCTTTTTGTTATGCCGAATTGTTGACGCGAAGGGCCTAAGGTTTCAGAGGCGAAGGCGTAACTAGGGACCAACGACACAAAAAGAGGGCCGGCCTAATGACAAACAGGCAATGCTAGCAGTCGCCAAACAGACAGTCGCTGCGATGCGATGCGATGCGAGCAGAAGATGTAAAACAAGACGCGCAAGGAGCAAAGCGAACGGCCAGAAAAAATATATGCGGATGCAAAAGTAGAGGTCGAAATGGCAAGGCGGCGCAAATGTCAAAAGTCGTTAGTCTGGGGCAAGGAGATTAGACCAGCAACACCAGAGATGAGCATGTACCAGGGGAGACGAAAGTAAATTTGGCAACGCAGCAGCGTTTGGGGCCAAAAAGAAAGAAAAAAGAAGGTCACCTAGCTATTCCGAGCAAGAAGGGGAAAGGGAGAGGAAAGGGAGAGCGCAGAGGTCAGTAATATTACGAAGAGAGTACATGCGAGATTGCTCCTAGTCCCATGTACTGGTAATGTATATACGGTGCAATGTTGTTTATTTGTTTACCAGGACGAGTCGTAGGCGCAGGTACCCACGGCAGCAAAGTTCAGTGTGGAGGTACGTGCGGGCCGGACAAGGTGAATAATTAGGCGGGGTGAAGCAACCCCCATCACTGCCTGACGGTACGCAGTACCTCTTTCGAGGGAAGACAGAGCCCCAGTATCTCGACCAATGAAAAGTCAAGGCACGCACTCAAACAACCCGTTTTTCATTACTGCGAGGAATTTGGTGGCATTGGGGAAGAAGGGAGCTGGCATGCGGCGCACGGATCAGGCCGTGGCCCTAACGCGCAAAGGTGGTCGTCACGGCGATGACGACTTTCCGGGCTGACTAAGTGCTCTCTTGTTTCCGACCACCAACAGCAGAGCTTGTCGCGAGCGGTGGCAGTCGGCACAAAGTTGGCGCTAGCCCGTGACGGCGGCCCGTCGCGTCTCACCAGCGTCCAGCATTTCGAAACTTGTTGGTCTAGACGGGCATCGCCGCCGCACCCCCCTCTCTAAAAGCCTCGAGGCATGTATCTTTCGATGCATTCTCGCCCCGCGACACCAGCGCCCTATTCTCCGGCGCCTTTTTTTCCTCCACGTGGCCGGTTTCCGCCGCTGCCGCCGTGCTCCGCGTACACGCGTCGTGGCGTGACGCCAGATGGCCGCGCTCGCACGTGATGAGCGCCCAAAATCTTGTAGTTCGCACTGTGGAAACCCAACACCAAAAAAAACACGACCTTTTCAGTTCGGCGCCGCCGCGGCAGCTGAAAGGGAGACGAAGAGCCATGTTGCCGGCCGGGACTGCTCGCGCGCGCGCGCAAATTACAAACAGACACAGCATGGTCGCATTTCGTAGAGACGGCCGTTTGACAATGTTAAACCTTGCTTCCTCGTGCGCGGGATGACCTGCGCCAATCGATGCGCTCGAGCTGGTACGAAGCTACGCATCCCGTTAGCCGCCGAGGGCAGGGAAAGGGTTCGCTCGTTTCGAGAACTCGGCAAGTGGAGTTGGGGTATATTTTTTTCCCGGCGCATGCGGTCACAAAGAAGAGAAAAGTCCGGATGGGAAAGGATCATATTCCTTTTGGTCCATCTGCGTCTGTTTTATTTATTTTAGCCAGCATGCGAAACGCGTTCTGCGCATCTGCTAGGCAATGTCGAATTGGCCCAGATGGCTGCATCACACCCGCCTCCTCCTGCGTCTACCCTATGCCAGATCTGCGCAACTGCGCAATCGTAAAGGCTACCAAACAACGTAAAGCGCATACATATAGCCTTATACAGCGCATATTTCGCTTTCCCAGCAATTTCGTACTATTCCCTGTCCAATTTCGCTGTCCTACCTACCGACTCCCGAAACCACCGGCGAAGAGGGGTCGCAGGCCCTCCTTCTCTCGACTCCGCCACGCGCCGAACCTCCTACACCATCCGATAAGGCGTTTCCGTGCGCAAGAAACCAAAACCAATAGCTCACTCCAGCATTGAATTCCCATCCAACCCCAGGAGCTTGTTCGATTCACTATTTTCGTTTTCGCGCCGAGTGCGACTCGCATGGTCCACTCAAGCCTTCGCGCCATTTCAGCCTCAAGAAAAACGACCAAGAACCGCTGTGAGCCACTTGCGACAAGACGCCAAGACGACGCTCGCGCAAGAATGACAATCAATCCGCGCGACGAATGCGCCCTGAATCGCAATGTACCATTCCGTCTCATATTACACATGGCTCAAAAGAAGCTCCGTTCGTCATGGTGCCCGTTTGCGCATCATGTCCCTTGATGGGTCCCCTCATTGGCCCCCTCTACGAACCCCGGGCGGCTACGATTTGCGCAACGTTGCGCTGCGTCGCACGCGACGTATTGACTGGCAAAAAACCGGCTCTATGTGTTTTCAAACGCACTTCCTTGATGGACAGTCGTTTGCGCCTTGCATAGATGGCCGCGCTGCGTCGCGCGACACGCACAAGTGCTGTGGCTCTTGTGCCCGTCAAACGCGGATGCCGGCCCCGAGACACGATCTGCGCCGGCCACCAGGGAAAGCGTGCGGCTGATCGCATCGCGTCTCAAGCGATCGCGATATACCCAATTATACATTTGTAGGTTTAATTGGGGTGATTGCGCCGATTTGCGCCGTGCGCATTCGACATTGTCCCGAGGGCGCGTAGGTTCGTCGCACCTCGGCGCTATCGCTCACGTAGTCGTTTGTCCAGCATCATCGCGGTCCTCCACCGGGCCGGCGTGCCATGGCACAATTTTACAAACCTTAAAAAAAGGGAGGGACCGTGGCCCAACGCGTGCGCATATCCATGAACCTTTTTTGGGCTCGTCGGAGGCCTGCCTCGTACAAGCGCAATGGGATGCTTGTTGTCGACTCTTAAAGGAGGAGACGTCGGCCGGATTCGCCAACCGTAGGTTTCCCTGTAGGGATCTGGAGATGAGGCGCGCATGCGAAAATATCTTTCGGGCTACGAATTGACGTGAGAACTAGAGTCAACATGAGCGCTGCGTATAACTTGGCGGCAACGTGGCGCAAGAAAATGTCGGTCTCATTTAGCGACTGCCACGCTGCCCTGTAACCAGAGCTGTTGGTGCTGGGCAAGATGCAATTCTGCACGAGCCTGCCGGCACTCGGCTCAAGGCATGGGGGCCTTTGCTTCATCGACTGCCGCTGGTGGCACGATGTTTGATTTGCATCCACAGGCAAAGACTATGTATAATGTTTGTAGCCCTGGGATTCTCATTTCCTCCCGGATATTATTCATTTGTTACATGGTATGTAGCTTATTTTTCCCGCCTGCAGGGACCCTCCACAACGCACAGTCTGTGCCAGATGGGCAGGAATAAAGATGAATATCAAACAAAAGAAGGAAAGAAAAAAGCCAGGCCAATCCACTTTAAGGGCAGCATGACCCTGGAACAATAACTAGGCTAATCATGCAATAGTTAGTGTCTGCAGCTGATTCTTGAATGTGAGCACCACCGTGGCGGGGGTTTCGGCGAGAGCGGTGACGGTTGAACGGCCAAGAAGCAGTCGAGGTCGTCGTCCCCTGCCCCTCGCCGAGTAAACCCCAGTCAAAGGCAAGTTCTTGGACAGGGACGTCAGCATCCCAGCATCCCCGGAAGGCCCTTGGCGGGGCGGCAGATACACAGGCATGACAGGGACGGCCGGGCATATCAATGGATTCTGCAAGTCGACCGAGCTAATGCAGCTTCTTGGAGAATGTCTACGCCTCGTCGCCGCCCATCTGGGCAGCAATGTATCGAAAATCCAGTACCGGTCGGGTAGCAAGGTAGAAGGCTTGGTCACGAGTGTGAGCGTTGCGCACGTTGTTGGCGACTTGTCGCAAAAGAGGTGCAGCCGAAACCCTGTCGTCGCAAAAGTGGTTGGTATAACTACTGGTAACTAGAGATCGCGGTCAAGGGTGAGGGGGAAGACCAAATCCAAATAGCAGCATGCAAGGGTCCGCAGCGGTTCGTTGGGCATGATGCGGATTGTCTAGAAAGACGTCGGTTTCGACAGCGGTCCCAGGCATTTAAATTGAAGAGGCTGTGCGTCTGCTCGAACTGAATCCATACAAAGAGAACAAGAAAACAAGAGAAGACCCAAGTCCCCGGAAACTAAACCAGAGAGACATATAAGCGGATGACACTTCCACGGCGGAAGTGCATTCTGTATTACAGTCCACGGAGTACGGGGACAAGAAAGAAGAAAATAAAAAGCAGCAGGCAGCTTTTTGGAGTTAGCAGCAACTTTTGACTGTAGTACATGGACTTGGTCACAAATGCGCAAAGAGGGGAACGATATGACTGGTAGACAGAACCAAGAGCTTGAAACGCAATTATCCCCGAAACGGGACAAGGCGGCTCTAAAAAAATTAACTAACAATCGCAAAAGAAAAAGAAAAAAGAAGACGCATCGATTGGTGCCGACGCCCAGCCGGACCGACCCCGGCCACGCTTGCAGAAAAAGGATTGCATGCGCTGGCACACGTTTTTTTTACCGCCACAACTGGGCAGAGGGAACAAGCCCACGCCAAAGTGGTTCCGTTGTCGCAAAAGAGGTCATCCGAGAGCCCAGGGTGGTGGTGATTTTTCTTGCGCCGTGCAGATTATATATACCGAGTGCAGGAACTCGAGACGGCGCCGGACAACAAGACAAAAAAGAGGCAACCCGAGAACTTGTGGAATATGGCGCGTGTGTGCAAGGCGGTTTTGGCCGTCAATGTAGCCCAGATAGGTCACGCATTTCATCTTGCCATGTTGTGTGTCATTCCTTCGCGGGATGACGCCGCTGGGCGCAAACTATTCACTAGCCTTTTGACTTGCTATCGAAAGCCCAATCACTTGAATGCCGGAGCGAGGGCCGTGGGACAAGGCCTCGTCGCCGATGCGCAAGTTGGTGAAATCACACATGATACAGCACCGCCTCTCGGCCTCTGCATTTTCTTGTCTCTTGCCACTCCTCTCCACATTCTCGAGTGACATTGTGGTCTTACCCTTACCGGTACTCGTCTCGTGCAGGATACAGATTTGTCGCCCGTGTCTTGGGTTAATTGAGGCTAGTTGTGGTAGTATTATTAGCCCGCCGCGCATCAAAACACCTTTTGCTACTCATGACATGCGCCTTTCATTGTGCCGTACAGTGTATGAAGACAGTGCGGATATAACTTGCCCCCCCCTGGTCCGAACCATGCCACCACTACAACCCGAATCCGGCCAATCTGGGGAGCTCTCTTGACTTGCGCACAAGTGAGGCAATGATAGGTCCAATGCCAACAAAAAAGAAGAAGACGAGAGACGAGATTGCAGAGCGCATCACGCCAGCTGGTCGCCTTGCCGCGCGACCGGGACACCAAGCAATGCTGTGAACCAACTAGTTCGACCCAGCGACCAAAGATAGCGACCGATTCCCCACCCGATGGGTGTATGTGGCTTTCTTGCGATGCTTGTCCGGCGTTTGCGCTCTCCCAAATCCCTGTCAGCGGAATCGCTGCCAATCCAGAGGTTATAGTCGACTGCGCAAATCGGATCGCGAGGTTGCACTCGTCGACGGTAGTTGCTCATCGTGCAGAACCGTGGTCTGAGGGCGGCGGCTATGCCATTCTCCCCCCCGTATGTAGGAGTTCGAGCGCGACGGGACAAGAGAGTTTCGCGGGCAGAGAGCGCATTGCGAACCGGTTTTTGATCACCTGTCTGTCCCCTTCGCGGCGGCCGACGGCGGGTGGCGGCTTGTATCAGAATTGGGATGTGCTGTAACCTCTGCGGGTGCTGCAGTGATGCTGTGTGCACGCCAAACGAGGGAAGAAGGCAGCTGAGCAACTGCGACCGCCACTATCAGCTTATTCATCTTGTTATTGCCGAGCTTTGAAGCAGCGTTGAAGCCATCTACTTGGTACCTATTCAGCTTGATTATTACCTGGGTTGCTTTGCAAAAATCAAAACGACATGGCTTGTCATATTAGCCTTGCAGAACGCATATTAGCCGCCCACGAAGCTGTTTGAGGACCAGCGCAAAACGGGTCAGCTTGTTTCGGTCATTTGCCAATTGCGTATTCCTCTCCCGTTTTTATTTTATTTTTTCCCGCTTATTGCCTAGAGGCATTTAGCATGATTTTGTGCAACAGAACAGGAACCCGTCTGGCATCGAGTCGCCCCCAGCGAATGAATCGTACCTATGCGCTGGCGCCATGTGTGCCAAAGCGGGCCAAGGTTGGAGCCAGAACGGACATATGACACCCTCTCTGCATGAGCTGCCTCTCCCACCTTGGTTTATTTTGGCTGTTTATTGATCATTATTATGCCATCATTGTATTCTTCTGAGTCTGCCTTCTTCGTACCTTTTTGGAGCGACTGTCAGGCACGCCGGTAGTCCACCCACGAACGGGCAACGGGAGGGTAGCTTGCAGATGGCCATCACCGTGGTTATCCATCCACCACTACCAGGTAGTAGTTATTAGTTACAACCACTACCTTCAAGTCAAGCTCGTGGTGGCTCATGGCTACACGGCCGATGCGGTCGCTGGACCGGCTGATGCAGCCATCACCGCTCCAAGCCACTGATAACAGTGCGCAGCCAGGCACGGCACGGCAGCTACTATACTTCAATGGGCACTATAGTTGCCACAGTGCTGTAGTCTCTAGCACTGTACCTTTGGACCCAGCCTCTTTTCCAGCGCGCCGAAGATGACCTGCCCTGTTCTCGTCGCCACGGTCCATCAACATGTTCGTCACAATTCATACCTCACGCCATCGAGCCCGTTCAAGTTGTTGTTGTTGTTGGCCGTTCGGCCAGTGCAACAACTGACTGCCGTCATGGGGTCCCAACCATTTGCGCAGCGCTAGTTGCTGTCCCATCCCACTCACACCGCGCATCCATGTACCAGTACCAGTAGTCTTGTATATGCAGGCCATACGTGATGTACATTGTTGGCACCCTTCTGGTCGATTAGGCGTGGAAACCGTTTCTTGCTTGTTACTAGCCAGGTCCTCTTTGGCAAAGTAGCAATAATAAATGCAAACGTCTACTACCCAGCTACCCAGCGCACTATCTCCTCGGGCCCGTGAAAGCGGCTTTGCCAGTTTAGCGCGTGTGGAGACTCGAGGCGAAATGGCGGAGGAGGTGTGTGGATGGAGACCCAAGGCGCAGAGCGAAGTGGTAAGGGCAAGGGACAAAAAAAAGAGGCTTACGCGGGGCGGCGCATGATGATGAGGCAATGGAAAAGATGGATAGATGGGAAACGATTGCAAAGACGGTTCTTTTCGCGGGAGAAATCTGGCAGGTCCGGCTGGCGATGGCGGCGGCGCAAAAGACCAACCGTCGTCCCAACGGGTACCGACTCGATCCATCGGTTTGCGAAACCTTGGGCACGTTTTAGGCAGTTCCATACCTGAGCCAAGTCTGGCCCGGGATAACAGTGCTTTGAGTGCCTTTTTGGAGCAATGTGCCAATGAGTGCCACCCATCCACACTCGCTCGTTTTGGCTTCCATCCAGGTGACTCGCCAGCGGAAAAATGTGTGGTGGATGTTGAGTGGCCGGCCCTGACGAAGAACGGTGAGAGGCAGAGTCGGTAGTTACCTCTACGTTGTGGAGGCGGGCAGCGCCTCTGATAAACCTGCCCGCACTGTAGTACGGGCAGAGCCAATGCCGGCGCAAACAGAAAGCTGCGCCATTGGAGCTGTCGCAAGACGCCTCGACAACGTCTATGCGGTAGAATGACCAATGCAGAATACAGAGCCGCCATTGTAGTGAAAATCATGTTGCAATCTTATGCGCTACCTCTGGCCAAGGGAGGACGGACGGGAGAGTGTGCTCAGGGCCTTGGAGTCGACGATGGCAGCAGGCAGAGGGCGCCGGTACCTTAGTACCTCTAGAGCGCTGGGGGTGGTTACAGCGCGCTACAGCGCATTACAGGAGTCTCGCACCGGCGGCCTGGGGCGGCCTGCAGCACTCATAGCACACCTTCAGCGCTGTCGCTCTCTCGTCCCAGGCTCCTCCCGCACACTGTTTTTTTAGCGAGGCACTGGCACAACGGGCAATGCAGGCCATCTCAGCAACCTGACCACTGACCAGCCACCTGGCTCAGGCCATGGCCCTGCTTCCTTGTCCACCGTTCAGGCCCCAAGCTGTTGCTCGCCGATAAAATCGTTCGGCCTCGTACTGCCTGCTCCTCTTTTCCCCATGCACACCACGTCCATCGAACCTCTTCTGCCTCAAAACCACTTGGATCCGGCAGCCTATATAATTCTCTGGTGAGTCTTGCTGCATCCATTTGCCATCGCGATCCTCCATTCGCCATTCCTCATCCATTCCTATCCTCTTCCCGCCGTCGCATTCTCCTGCGCCGGTCCTCTCTGGCCGTGGCCGCACACACACACCACCATTTGGCCCTGCGCCGTTCGACCGCCAGACTCTGCTCGAGTCTCCTTCCTCCCCCCTCCCCCTTCATCGCACCATTTTGCGCCAGGCATCCAAAATCATTCCCATCGCTAATTGTTCCAGACGCTTCTCTGCGACTTCTACCGCTTGCTTCGTCGACGCACGCCGCAGAACCGCCGCCTCGTTTTCCCGCCGTCTGCGCCAGCCCGGTGCTGACGACTCGGCGCTAGCCCGCCCTCTCCAAGCCCTCACGGCGGTGATGCAGCCTTGATCTGCATCTCACCAATCTGACGCCGCTCCTTCGACCCCATCGATCGTTACAATAAAGTATATTCTGCTGCCCAGATTGCCTGCTGGATTTGTTTCCGCTCGCTTGTCTGTGCGGTCGCTCGTTTTCTCCTGTGTGCTTAGGGCCCTCCATCCAAGAGCCGCTTAGCACCTGCGTCCGCAAAAACCGCACCCACGCACGGAACGTTCGGCGCCAACAACATCATCTCAGCATAGCTGAGTATCGATCGATTTTTATATCTCTCACAAGGGCACCATGACTTCCATGTCGCCCATTAATACTGCGGGTGCTGTCTGTGCCCCCCCCTCCCACAGCGGCAGCGTCTCCCCGAGACAGCCGTTGCCGCCAAAGAATGTCGCATTTGAGCTGCTGTTTCTTGATTCTCCTCAATATCGCGCGCGTCTTCCCATGCGCGTGCAAATTTACCCCCATGACACAACTGACTCCATTGTCACCACGGTCAAGAATTTTTATGGCCTCTACTCCGGTCGAACTGGCTCCAAGGGCGTCAGCTTCGAGGATGACCAGGGCAATACTCTGATCGCGCGGTACGAAAACTTTACAAACAATATGATTGTCTACGTTCGTGTCATTGAGGAAGCCCCTGCTGCCGCTACCGTCTTCCCCCAATCAGAGTACCAGTCTCCTACCACAGCCGACGCTTACTATGAGGGTGATCAGTATGCCAGAAACCACCAGAACGGCGGTGAAGCGCCGAATGGCAGAGCATCCCGCCAGAGGAGCCAGTCTCCCCGCGCCGGTGCTGCCAGTCGCAGCGGCTCTGTGAGCAGCAAGAAGAGCCGCTCTCGATCTGTCAAGAGCCACGCCACCAATGTTCTCCACGGCGACTCGTACGCCGCGAGCGTCGATGGCTACAGCAGCGGCGACGGAGAGCAAGGCAGTGTTTCTGGCCGAAGCAAGGAGCAGCTTGGCACCACTGATATCAGCGTCGAGAACATTGTCGAGGGTGGCCGACGCAAACGAGCCAAGTTTGAGAGCTCGGTAAGGAGAATTTTCCGCATCTCCGGGATGCCGCGAAAGAACCTTTTGATTCTAACCCCATCTTTTCTTCATTTATAGGAACTTCCCCTCTTCGCGCCACCTCAGATGCCAGCGGCGACGTCCAACCCGTCTGTGTCGCCGGCTCGTCGAATTGACTCCCGGGCGCCCTTGTCTTACGTCCCACAAGGTACAAACCCATTCACGAACCCGCGATCACTACACGCTTCCCAAAATTATGGCAATGGCTTCCAATCTGGTGTTTATGCAACTCCTACCACTGAAAGCCGCCGCCATCATCGTGGCAGCATCAGCTATGGTAGCAGCGGTGCCATGGGTATTATGCCTACTCCAGACCCCACTGTCGGCAGCTGCATGTCTGAAGAGGACAAGGATGTTGCCATTCAGCTGATGCGCCTGGGCGAAATGTCCAACATTTCGCATGGCCGCACCTCTGCCTCCACGCTGGATGACACTTTTAGTGGCAGAGCGGACAATGCCTCGTCTACTGGAGCTACTAGCGATGGAGAAAGCGAGAGTGACAATGAGCTCCCTGCAGCGCGTCGCCAGAAGCTCGACATGTCGGGTGCCTCCAAGCTGATTTACCCGACAACAGAGAGCAGCCTGACACACGCCCAAGCTGAGTACAGCAGTGACGAGGGCGACCATGAGGCTGGCAAGTCTGGCCAGGCTATGGCTAAGCCTCCCACAACGCACAAGCCCACTCTTCCCATGTCCAAGCCGCCACCCAAGCCCAAGATGCACAAGCCGTCCAACAGTTTGAAGATGAAGAAGCCACCGGTGCTTACCAATGTACCCATGTCGCCGGCCTCGGCTCCGCACTCGCGGAAGCCTTCAGTCGCTTCCATCAACGGCTTGCCTACTGGTGGCGACGACGACAACCCTGATCTGTCTACCAAGCCACGCTGCCAGAGATGTCGCAAGAGCAAAAAGGGCTGCGATCGGCAGCGTCCCTGCGGCCGCTGCCGTGACGCAGGTCTGTCTGCCGACCAGTGCATCAGCGAAGATGAAGGCAATGGCCGCAAGGGCCGCTATGGGCGCCACATGGGCGTGCCCATCAAGCATAGCGCTGATGTTCCTGTTGCGGTTCAGCCGACTCTGCTTCCAGCAGCTCCTATTGCTCCGACCATGGCGTTAGCCATCGACAAGAACAAGAAGCGGAAGCGGTAATTCCAGAAGAGTCGGCGCTGAATCAATGGTAGTCTATCGCATTCGCATACACTCCATTGAAGTTGCGACGGCTCACCGCGTTCGGTGTCTTTGCTGCCAGGTCTTGACTGTGCAAATCAATCGCATGATTTTGCGGTACGAAGCTACGTCTGTTTTTTCAGTTTTGATTCATTTTGCCCTTGATTTTTTTGCGGCGCAGTTGATATATGGCGCTGGAAGGATGTAATTACGAAGGCCTTTAGACAAGGCCGCACTACGCTCCCTAGACTGGCGTTGGGGCTCATTGTAGGAGTTGTTTTCTGCTTACTCTTTTTATTACTCCTTTTGGTTTTGCGTTTTTTTTTTTTTGGTGCGAGAGATGTCTTTCTTCGTGCCGACTTTTCCTACGAAGGCGCGCCCTGCCATGGATTGACTCGCGCGACAGGAAGACGAAGGAACAAGCGAAATGGCAGGGATAGAAATGGAACTGGGGAGAAAAAAAGAAAACTTGATCAGGGAACAACGGTGCGATCAGGAAAAACACGAGGGGGGGAACTCTAGAAGAGGTGGTGTGCGAAAAAAAAACAGAGAGTATTCTGATACTTGCTTGGACAGTGTACGCTCTGGTCAGCGCACGATATTTTGTCGGAGACGCGCGCATGCCTAATGCGCGCGCACTGAGCTGTGGAACGATAAGAAGGAAGAAGATAGGGACGCCGCCGGTGGTTACGCCCGGTTTGTGTTGCGTGTGTTTTCTCCTTTTCATTCGTGGTTTTTTTTTATATCTGTGCGAAATTATCTCAAAGGGAGAGATTATTTTACCTGAGGCTTCGGGTTGGCGGTTCCTGCAATTTTGTTTCTTGGTTTTTGTGCCTTTTTGTCGTCATTTTATCCTCCTTTTTCTTCGCTTCTCTTGTTTGTCTGTGTTTCTTTTCTTTTGCCTCTTCAATCAGTGTTGATTGCGTACGCTTATTTTAGTCACTTTTTGCTCTCTTGTTGCTATCCTTGTTTTTTAACCGAACTTTTTTAACTATCGAAGCCCTTTTGCATGTGTTTTCGTGTGCGACTTGGCCAATTTCGTTTCTCAAAAAAAAAAGGGCTGGAGGCGGATGTGATGCGCGCTTTCTTATGTACTGGAGGCTACTATCTACGGATTTCTGTTAATTCTCCTATTATCTACGATTTCTCATCCCTGCATCGGTCGTGATGAAGCAAGTTGTGCGAGACACGGTATGTACTGGTTCTATCTTAGTGTGCGCACCGCCACGCCGACACACAATGGCAGTTGGTCGTTTCTCCCGTGCGCGTGCCAAATGAAAAATCTAAATTAGCACTATCCGATGCGCCCGCTCTATGCGACACCATTTTCACACCTAGAATGCATGCGCCGACGTGGCGTGGTGGTGTTGTTCCTTGCGGCGCAAAAAAAAAGATAAACAACACATATCTGACCACCGTTTTTTGGGGGGGGGGCGTTGTATCGGCGCGAGATTTAACCCGCCCGGCACTTCTTTTTTGTTTTTACCACAACGAGAGCGGGGTTCCCTCAACCGCGGGGCTCGTTACGGTTCCCCCGCACACAGGACAAGCCTACCCTGGAAGCTTTTTGGTTTCTGTTTTGGGCGGCTTGATCCGGGAAGCGTTATCGTTATCAACAAGATGGTGGGGGCCGGTGGATTCTATGGAATTGCCAAATCGGGAAATCACGTGGAATGTCACGCCGCTCGATTGTGTTTTGGGATGCTACGTCATTTTTGCGATGGTGGGTCCTCCCCGCGCTACTGCCCGTTTTGGACCCAAAAATGGGGTTTGGACAAGGGTGTAGGGTAGCTATATCCTTGGAGAAGCTGAGGAGCAAGGACGGGGAGGTTAGAGAAGGGATGGAAAGGCCGCAAAGAGGATTGATGTGGCTGTGATGGTGGTGGATGAATTTGGTGTTGCTTGGGAAGCGTGGTTTGTGAATTTGGGGGCTGAGGACCAATCCTTCTGGATAGAGATACGGATCCGGATGTTACGGGATTATAAGCAAGACCACGAAGAAAAAAATACCAGGACGTGTTACTTTTTGAAGAGAAAATGGATACCGAGGAATATCGAACAAGTAAACTATGAACCTGTCGCACAGTTTCGCAGCCACAACAGCAAATTGCGAGGGAATCGTAACAGAAGAATCGCTGATACACTTGCACGATGATGCGGGCAATCGACACTCGTCAACCGAGTCGCGAAAGCATGCTCCTGTATATCACACATGACGTACGAAACGCAATCCCTAGAAGCCCAAGTAAGGTTAGCCGATTAAAGTGTGTCTCATCATCTTTTTGTTAACGGCTGCTTCACCAGTCCACAGGAGCTTGCCTTTGTACGGTCCGATTTGCCAACATAAAGCTCTGATAAATTTCTTTACCGGAACAAATTGAAGCTTTTCCAAAAGAAGTTGACAGCTTCCAGTGAGAATTATCGTGACAACGTTAATGGAATAGTTCTGACTTTCTCCCCACTAGAACGAGCCCGTGGCAGGTTTTCCGCCCTCCCCGCGCCATCGATTTTCTCTCCGGGAAAGCGAGTGTCTAGACGCGGCGTCAAAAGACCTGAAAGACGCGGAGAGGGCAGAGAAGGGGGAGACTTCACCGAGACTGCTGCGTCTCCCTTGCTAGACAAAAAAGCTCCTTGGACCGCAGCAAGCTCACGACGCAGCCGCACGCCGAAGTACAAACCAGCTGGATCTGGTCCTCGACATGGCCAAAGCTTACTATTCCTCTGCCAAACAAATCGATTTTTCGCTGCGGAATCACCACTCGAACGCCTTATGGATGTCGTCCTCGTCCACCGCGATGGGATGCGCCGCGCGCGATCACGACCTCTTTGCGACACCGCTCCCCTGTGTCGCTTATTTCTTGAAAGAAACAAGGTATCGCCAATTTTTTTCCTCTCAATCCATTCCATGTTTTGCATCATACGAGGCCCTCGAGATATGAGTGATGCTCGCATGGTGCCTGTGCTTTAGTCTCTCTCGTCGACTACGGCCGTGGCGTGTGCTGGCCTGAGAAGATGCGCGGGTGCGAAATGTAATGGTTGAACCCTTCCCCCGCGTCGACGACAGCGGGTCGGCTTCCGTGGCGGAGAGAGGAATGATGCAGGTGCGGGATCAGATAACAAGACTTTTGCTCTAGATGGCCGCGCTGGGGGGGCGGCCAACGGGAGCCGAAAGCAGCTTCGGGGGGGGGTGACCAAGATCTTGCGGCAAAGCGGTTCAACTTTGCGCAACAATTTTTTTCTTACTCGCTCCGCGTAATGAGTTTTGCGAGGCAAGACGATGTTGTAAAGACTGTGGAAGCGACTTACTTCTGGCCTATGAAGTGGTGGCCTGTAAAGGTTGGCCGCCTGACCCGGATGCGACGTCTTCTCGCAATGTCAAGTACACACCGGGCGCCCAAAGCCGAAACAAGCGACTTGCTACAATATACCTACTCCCGTGCAATTATCTAATAAAAAAATAAATTGCATATACCCCTTGCCACTAGGGCAGTGATGGAGCTGGATCCCGCGGCGAGCGTCCAAGGCGTACTGTGTCTATCAAACGTGTCAAACTCATTCCCTCCTCCACGCAATGCTACCCGTGAGGTATCCGTGAGTTTTAGATTGCATTTGCCGGAGCCGGTTTGAATGCCCATCTTCTTGGGCCATTGCATGGACCATGTGTGGTGTCTTTGCCAAGACTTCAAGTCGGCCAACGTGACTGAAACCTCCACGAGACAAGTCCTTGACTCGACATTCGGCAGTTCTAGAAACACGAAAAGAACCATCACGCTACTTGGTGGAAGCAAAAAAAAACCCATGCTGAAGAAAACCGCACGGGGATCTTCACTGATCCTAGTCCATGTCCTGCCTGCAACACAGCCGCGGGCGGGGCAGAGTCTCGCACGTGCTACTACAACGCTGCAGGCGGACAGAGAAATAGTGATATATTATAGTTCATCCGTAGGAAGACAATGCAACGTTCACGGGTGACATACTGCCAAGAGGGGGGTCGCCAAAGTCACGATCGAGAAAGCATTCCTAGGCTGCGAACTTGCTTGCTCAGTTGAGTCATGATGTGTGTCATTATATACGAGATAGTATGTACTTGGTCAAGGTATATAAGATAGACAAGAAAAACCAAAACCTTGGCCTGGTCTGTAGGCTGAGCAGATGGATGATGCGGCCGGCGCCTCACTGTAAACGCAGCTCGTCAAGCACACGTCGCACAAGGCCAGCAACCTGTGCGCCGTCCTGCCACACAAAGTCATGCTCGCCATGCAAGTCGTTGACAACCGTGGGCTGGAACCCGTCGACTCTGAGCTTCTCCGCCATGGCCTCCGTCTCGGCTAGGTCGAGCAGGCCGTCGGTGGGCGAGATGGCGAGCCAAAGCGGCGTGCCGCGAGAGAGGAGGGGTTGCTCGAAAGAGTTGCAGTACTGCGCTGGAGAGGCCCTCGCCCAAACATCCTCGTCTTCGCCAAAGGCATTACTGATGAAGCTGGCGTAGTTACCGTCGTAGCGGCGATTCAAATTAACGAGATCGTAGATGCCAGAGACGCCAATAATGGCGGCAGGCTTGGGAAGAGGGACGGAAGACGGCAGCTGCCATTGCGCACTGCTCATGAGCAACTGGAAAGCCAACATGGCGCCGGCCGAATGACCGATCATAATGTACTTGTTACCAAGGTCGAATCGTTGACTGAGAAAGTCCATGGCCGAGCGCACATCGTGAACGTGGTCCGGGTGCTGGGCGATGCGTTGCTCCGAAGACGGCGTCTCGTCGACGCATTGCGGGAACTCTTCCTGGTACGGCGATAGGCGGTAGTCTATGCTCATGAATCCACGAACCGTCTCCGGAAGGTTGCCCGCCGTCATTAGATGCCTGATGGACGGAGCGAAATCTGTCGGTTTGTTGCGAGGATCTCGCCATGCCCCACCGTGGATGAATCTTAGGCACAAGTTAGCACAGACATTTTGAAGATGTTGCTGCGATGAGCTCTTGCAACGGTCCGGCAAAAAGTACAAGAGCACCGCAGATACGTACATGAGCCAGTAGACAGCATTTGGGTTGGCAGGCCTGCGCTGCTCCCAGACACCTATTCGGTGGAGATTGTGCTTGCCATAGCGAAGATAGGAAAATTCAAGGTCCGGGGCATTGTCACGGATGCCTCCAGCCCTATGGCCTTTGCCAATACCCATGCTTGTCGTCTAGGGATTGGCGGGACAGGTCCTTTTCTGCACGATAACTCGGTCCGTGCTGAATTGAAATCAGGAGGCTGGAAGCCAGCACGCGATGGGGAGTTGTAGCGGATTGGATGAATGCAGTCCGATGACTCTGTTTGGTACTTTTGTGGCGACCACGGTGGGCGTGCGGGCCTGAGTCATTTGACGATGAAAGACGTCAGAGCGCACGGCTGTCGCGATAGAGCATCGGGTAAGAGGAAGACGGTAGTTATTGGAGTAAAGAGGGGGAGAGATGAAGAATCAAGAAGTAGAAAGAAAGAAGAAATGTGCCTCAGATGATCGAGTGACAGCGCCGGAGTAGAAGTGGGTGTTACTCTGGACGGCTACGGCGTGGTCGGAAGGACACTGACGCGGGCATGACGATATCGGTAGCAAGAGCGGGCAGGTGTGGAAAAAGAGTGGCAGAAGCCAGCAGCCAGCAGCCAGCAGCCAGCAGCCAGCAGGACGCAAGTGGACAAGAGCGTTTGATTAGGACGCCGTTGAACACGATGTGGTGGGCAATACACACTTTGCTAGTCCACGCCCCGAACTTTTGAGGAGAAGCGGCGCGTGACCTGTCGATAGAGGGAAGGGGGGAAGGAGGGAAGTCGGCCCCGAAGCATTGTCGTACGTAAAGCAAATAGTGGATGGCCTTTGTCACACTCGTTTCCTCGGAATATGTACCAGCGTCACTGGCATCCTTATGCCAAATCACTTTGGGTTTGAGCAGCGGATTTCAACTAGCCATGGCGCTGAGGCTAGTCTGAAGCCACGCGAGCTATTTCGCTCGACTATAAGTACGCTAGCTGGCTGGCCAAAGTCTACAATAGATTAGCAAGTCGGCTCTAATCCACCTGCTGGCCAAGTTGTCGATAATCTGAAGGCTGTTGCAGGGGTTCCACATGGTAACAGCCTGACCTGGCCTCGGTAGATGCGTCCTTTGGGCCTGGAGAGTTCGCTGGAGCTAGATTAGTAACTACAGGTACTAAGGTATGGTAGAGCGGATGGTGCTCGATCTGATGTCGTTGGCTGCGATTGGGGCCTACCTAAACTACAACGGCGCTGCGTAGGTAGGTTACAACCCGGAGACGCTTAGATGGGGCTTCCAGCTTTAGAGCCAAGGGACGCAGTTTCGTGTTCCATTGTACCAGGGCCGCTTGGCGTTTGGGGAACTTGTTTGGCTGTTTGGATGATGCTGATTAAAGACGAATTTGATGACCGAGGATTGGAGGGCGAGACAATGGCAGACAATCCACTGATTGATTAGGGCTTTGCCACAGGGGCTCATAGCGGACGTTCGGCGCCTCTTCGGGCCTTGTTTCAGCGCTCTTGGCCGCCGCCGCCGAGCATTATAGCGCTGTAGGCCACTGTCACTGCGGCACCTCAGCAGCGGCCCTTTTTGCCGGCCCAGTGCCCAGTGACTGTTGGTCGCCGTTTGTCATGGCTCAATTCAACCTCGACAAGGCATCTCCCTGCCTGTAACAAGAGAAGTTGCATGCTCGAGTTTCATCGCAAAATACCAGACTTGCATCACATACAGAACCCCATTGCCTTTCGTCAACTCAACGCAACATGCACCACCAGCTGGAATGCAGCGCGTCCGCGGGTCTTTGGAACAGGAGCAACTCAGGCACTCTGTACCGACGCCGGCAGCATGACCATAACCGGCCGGGTATGCTCATGTCGATATCGGCACAAAACGTGGGTCGTTGGCCAACTATTCGCTCGGGATGGACACGATGCGCAGTCTGTGCAAAAGTCCGTGTACGCCACTCCCGGCGCACACAAGGGCATCGAGCGCGTTATCGAGATGGTTGAGGCATAATAAGGGAGAGCCCGATGTCGAATCGCAGATGACGACGGAGCACCCCAAACGGATACCATATTATCCCCAAGAAAAGAGCAAAGGTGCTCGGTTGCCCTGCGATGAAAAACGATAGAAAACAGCGCAACAGGCCACTCACTCACTAAAATGTGATGTCGCTTGCCCTCGGTGATCAAACAACCCTGCCAGCTGCTCACGGCTCGTTTCTGCAACCTCGCACCTATTTTCGACAGTCTGTGCGCCTGCGAGCCTCAGTCCACTCTGGCACCTCTGAGATTTTAATGGACACATCCCCTGCGCTGCTACAGATGCATCCTGTCAAGTTGTCTCACCTGTCAAGCTCCGAGCTGACCGACACCCCTGCCATGTTGTGCGATGCAGAAGAACCAGCCGGTGGCACAATAGGACCTCCGTGCAACTAATCATCACAACAGTCGACTGGGGCCTGACGACCACCGCCGTCTTTACCGTTCCGCTTGATGTATACCCACTGCCATTCTACTAGCTGGTTGCTGGGTTTTCATCGACCAAGCCTGGTGCCGTATTTGAGCAATAGTCTCGTCTAGGGACGGAGGCGTGGGCCAATTTTTCAAGCCTCTCATCACGGGTTGCGGAGCCGCCCATGGGCAATCTGGATAGTGAAAACGCCCTACCAAAATCTTATCGCTCGGGACATGGGACGCCGAAAGTGGCTGGCAGTGACCGTCTGCGACTGGTTTGCTGTCAATGACCTCACATCACCAGTATTGGTATTATTAGACTGCACCACACAATTGGCAGCATCCACTGTCAATTCTTCTAGTTAGGCTGAATTACATGCAGTTCCCGGCACACCCAACCCAGCCAACCCAGAGAGCCAGATACCTTCCTGGTCCACCTGGTTCTGGTCTGCAGACGCTGGCTTGAACTGTTGCGTTGGTTAAGTTGCTCTTGTACTTTCCTTGAGGCCATACGGAGTACAGACAAAACATTTCGTCGCAAGAACCAACAAGCTGTCAACGAGACATTGGCGCACCTTGAGTCAGTGTGCTGCAGTTGCCTCAACTAGCACGCCCATTCGGCGACAGAGTTTCAGCCAGGCGTCCTCGGTGGACCGAAGCTAACTGGGAAGCAAGTTGCAACCTGCATCTTTCGTCCCACTATGATGGAACCTTGCGGCTCCCCTACATAGTAGGCCTGTCGCACGCTACCTTCGCCTACGCACCACCCTTGTTCTCACAGACAACCGGCCAATTCCGCGATCAAGGTTTCGAGGTGCATGTGCTCTCATATTGGCAAGTTCAATGCATTGACATCAAGGCTCTAGCGTATCGATTGATGTGCTCAATGCATCCTTCTAGCGTGTAGATTGCCCCCCAAGAAGGGAAATAACTACACCTCGACGTCTGTGGCCAGCCGGGCTGTCCTGATGGTTCCCTGATGGTTGCCATTCAGTCGCCATCAGTTGCGACGTTGAAGACTGGTGGCGTTATTCGGCATAGGATACGTGCGTTTCACTTACCAACTAACGATTATTGCACAAAGGACCTCCATTCATGCCAAAGCCACACGACTCAGGAACCGCGGCACCGCCGTCGAAGGACGAGCTACGTTTCAACAACCTTTTTCCAAATGAGGGTGTGTCAAGGCCGCCACACTCTTATTCCCTGTAGGTGACCCCTGTGAGAGATGGACTCTCCTCCCCCATATTACCAAGCTGTGGCACTCAGTAGTGAGAACCGCAATGGGGCGGATCCCTCCCATCCTGCATCCACATGCCTGCGCGGCCTGCATTGAATAATAAAAAGACAGGGTGGAAGCCGAAAATCAAGAAGAAGAAAAACGACTGGGTGACTGTACTGTGCCACATAGTACCGCCATATCAATCTTTTCTTCTCTCCGGGCCTTTGCCTTGTCACTCATCCTCGTACCAGGACACAAGCGCCGTACTACCGACGACTGTGATAAAGTTATCAAGCCACATTACCAGTACACGGGCACCGATGCATTGATTCAAGCCTGCCAAGCTTTAGCGCTATTCTGTCTCTGCTTCCCGTCTCCTATCGCTGGCTATGACGGCCCGCAACTCTATATAGAAACCACCCTCGCCATCTTTCCCACACCCTGCCGTCTCGTCTCGTCTCTTCCAAAAGCCTCGCCAAAACTCGTCGTCGACCACAGCGCGCACCCGCGCGGTTGCCAGTCCCATCGCCTTTGAGACGCAGAGCAGCGCAATTATACATTTCACCATGGCCGAAGTCGATCTTGACGAATACAATGGCGGCCGCTTGGTCGGCGCCACCATTGCCCTACTAGCTCTGAGTTGGATCACTATTGGTCTGCGCACATATACCCGAGCCGTGATCATGAGGAGTTTTCAGTCCGATGACTGGTTAATGCTGGTGGCTCAGGTTGGTGCCTTGTTCTGATCAATGGACTGTATGCCGCTGACACGAGCGCAGATCATCTTCACAGCACTCTGCGCATGCATCTTCGAAGGTGTGCGCAGAGGCATGGGGCGACACAACGCAGCTATCAAGACAGATGATGATAGAGTTGCTGCACTCATGGTATTAACCCCAACCCAATTCCATTGCCCGCTGGACTTGGCTAATATGACCCCCTTACCTATAGTGGCAAGCCATTGCGACGATTGCCTACATCTTGTCCATGATGTTCGTCAAACTCAGCATCGGTGTCTTCCTTCTTCGATTATCCGCCAGGAAGGTGTACAGCATCATCATCAAAATCAGTCTCATCGTCGTCACCCTATATACCCTGGGCGTCTTTTTCTGGGATGTTTTCCAGTGCATGCCCGTCGCCAAACAGTGGGATTACCGAATCATGGAGGGCCATTGCGCCAGTGGGCAGGACATTATCAATGCCGCCTACGCCATTAGTGTCCTCACTGTTGTTTCGGATTGGTTCTACGTACGTGATGCACCGCCTTTCCTGAGGCACGTTTGCCCTGCTGACTGACACTGTGTAGGCTCTGCTGCCCATCCCCATGCTGTGGAACGTCAAGATGACCAAGCAGGCCAAGGTCACCGTTGTTCTCATTCTGGGCCTTGGTATTTTGTGAGTACAAGTGCTGCTATACATATGACGTCTTACTAACAGTTGCGCAGCGCGAGCATTGCTACACTGATTCGTGTCAAGTTCTTGGCTGGTCTGACGGAAACGGACGATCTTCTCTGTAAGTGATGCGACGTGGCCACCCGTCAGCCGTGATGCTAATACGGCGGCAGTTTCTGCGACTGATGCCTTGCTTTGGAGCATGGTCGAGCCTGGCGTGGCAATCATCGCCTCGAGTCTCGCCACCATCCGGCCCTTGCTACGCGTTCTCAAGATTCGCGGGTTTGAATCAACACACCGGACACCATCGACGGGCCTGTCGGGCAAGAGCAAGAAGCAGAGCTCCATGCCAGGATATGGACCCAACGACGTCTCACTCCACCGCGTCACCGTTGTCGACTCGGAAAGCCGCAGCGAGGCGATGGCATATGACGAGTACCATCGCCACGCGGCCGGGCTCTCGTCTCATCCGCCTCCTCTCGACTTTAATCCAGATCCGGTGCTGGGAAACAAGGTCAGCATCTCGGCCGGCGGTGGCAACCACACTCGGGTACGGGACGACTCCAAGAGTGAAATGTACATTATCGAGGGCAAAATGGTGTCCCCGACCTGGGGCCCGCGCGAGTACCCGCCCTCGGACAGATCTCTGGAGGACATTAGCGCCCTGGAGGAGCAAAGTCAAGAACTCGGTCATGGCTCTTCTAGTGGACAGGCCCGCCGACGATGAAATTAATTCCATGTTGTACAATCCACTTTGCACGGCGCACACATTTTGAAACCCTTTTACAGTATATACGACACGGAGTACTAGCCTTGTTTCCCTATCAAGACGGAACGGGTTCGCGGTTATGATGACCCAGGAATGATCTTTGCATGTTATTGCGGATACAGAAATTTTGTTTTTACACGTACTATAACAGCCAGCCTCTTATTTCAGCGGCTTGACTATTTACAGATAGATCGGTATTCAATATCCATACCGGATGATTTGCAGCGCATTGCATGACATGGGCGTTGCACAGCCTGTCGGGCATCACCTCTTCACAATGACACAGGTTTGCTGACCAGTCGTCCCATCAGCGGTGTCGGCATCTGCTCTCCGGCTACACATGTACCATTCCTTAAAACATGAAAGCTCGCATACTGGGGGGGTGTTTTTTCGGGCCATCGTGAAACGAAACCACCACATTTCTCAAACCAGCGCATTGTTACAGAAACCATAGGGTCCCGGATAGCTGGGTACCAACCCGGCCGTATAATGGGAACCCGTATTACTCAGTATTGTTACAGATACCATGCGAGTCCCCGATAGCTGGGTACAGTGCAAGCAGCCCCCCCCCCCCGGCCGTATTGAAGAAGACGATGGTGAAATCGTAAGATGGTGGGAAAAATGGTAACTGGCGATTCATCTATGAGAAACCGGACGTGGGGATTGGCCGGAACCTGGATCCCAGAGAGGAGGGGCGGGGACCTATAATGCGATGTTTTTTTTACTGATGAAAGATGGGATCCTGTGCCGATTTCCTTCAGGGCAACATCTCTTGGCGGAATTGCGCACGCAGGACCAGGTTGTTTAAGCGAGGTCCAGAGAAGCCTTCCCCCTGCTGAGGTCTAGAAGAAATGTCAAAAAACCCCTGCCGGTGAAGAAGCCACCCATCTCCACAACGCGCCGAACAGACTAGCAGAGGCTATTAGTGGGAACTGGAAAACTGACAGGCCGTCTCTTGAACAAGTATAGAATTGGGTCTGGTCATATCGTGTGTGTCCATGTCTGTAACTACTTGTCCCTGCCGTTTGGTTTGTGGAAGGGAAGAAAAGAAAAGAAGGGATAAAAAGAACAGCGCTAGAATAAAAAAAAGAAAAGAGGATCGCGGCACCAAACGGCCTCTCATGCAAGAACCCTGACAATAAATGGAAAATCCACACTCCCAAAGACTGATTTTGCCCAGTTGCCTATCTGAGTGCCCATCACCTCCCTATGCAGGTATATTTGGGACCCCGACTTTATTTTCCCAACTTCCTTTTTAATAAGTAAAAGTTGACAGAAGCACAAACTTGATAGGTGACAAGCACCAAGAGCAAGGATATACAGGACGGACCGCGGAGAATTTTCCCTTTTTGGATCGATATATACGGGGGAGGCGGCGCAATGCCGCGCCCTGCCCCCGGCCGGCGCCTCAACTGGACCAAGGCTGAAAAAAAAAAAAGAAGAAAGACAGCGTCTCCACGTGTGAAACGGCGTTGCCACTTGAAGATGTTGCTCCGCTCTTTTTTTTTGTTCGTGTGTGTGTGTCCTATGCAAAGGGGCGCTTTTGTTGCCTGTCGGTTCGCCATTCGTAGTCTAGAACGTCTGAGATGCGCGCCGTTTTCCCCAGCTTTTCCCCCTTTTCTAGATGGTTTGACATGCCTAGTCGCTGGGATCCCAAACAGGGGAGCAGCCCTTAGTTATTAGGGCCGGTTCGTCTTTAATGCAAGCTGAAGCCCGGTTAATTCTTTCGGGGACAGGGGGGGCGAAAGGAACAAGATGGAGCGCAAATGGGGGTGGCGTTTGCGACGGCGGCGTCTTTTTACCAATAGACTGGGAAAGAGGGCTTGATTCCAACAGAGCGAGGATATCCGTCGCAAGGACTGCAACTGCAACACGAGGTCATTCAGAAGACACTACGAAACAAGTTGTTCCGAGGACAGGGGGGCCATCCAGTGTATTGGTGTTTGCCCGCCAAGGGTCTTTGGAAGGACCCCCTGTTTTACGCCTCACCCAGCTCCTCGGGCGTGACGTTCCAGTCCTCCTCGTCGCTCCAGACGGGCGCCACAGTGAAGCGGCCCATGATCTTGCCCATGCCCACGCAATCACCGCCCGTGGGGCGCGCCACCGCCGCTCCTCCGCCGCTGATAACGACGGGCTTCTCGTCGCTCTCCTCGACAATCACCGCCGTCGTCAGGAAGCTCATGCCCGCCGCCGGGCTCATCTCCAGCACGTGGCCGCCCCAGTCCAGTTCCACCTTGCCGGAGCGCCGCACGTTGATGCGCCCAATCATGCCGCCCTGCGACAGGAACTGCGACTTGAAGCCGTGTTTGCGCTCCGCCTCGGCCCGCTCCTCCGCCGTCTCCTCCTCCTCCTCGTCTTCCTCGTTGTATTGATCGCCGGTGAGATCAACGGCGCTGGCGGCGGGCACGTCGTCGAGGCTGTCCCTCGAGACTGGCTGCTCCTCCTTGACGCCCCCGGCCGGCGCCGCGCTCGTCTCCTTGAGCGGCGGCATCAGTGGCGGGAACTGGAAGAGGTACAGCCGGCCGTCCTTGTTGGCGAGTTCGGGCGCAGCGCCGTCGCCATCGACGGTGACGGCGCCGAGTTCGCGCGCGAGCAGGTCCAGGTCGGACTGGATCATCTTGCTCTCGGGATCCTGCGGTGGCGCCTTTTTGGTCTTGATTGTCGTCGTCTTGTCTTCCATCCTGGGCAGCGCCGCGAGGTCGACATCCATGACGTCGTCGTCGGCGCCGGGCTCCTCCTTGATCAGGCGCTTGGTATCCGTGCCCCAGACACCTTCCTCGGGTGGCACTTCCGGCGGCAGCGTCCCAGACTCGCCGTCGACCCAGAGACTTTCCTCCTCCCCGGTCGCGTTTTCTTTGGCTTCCAGTTCGGCCGTGGTGGCCACGACGATGCCCGCCTCCTTGTGCTCCTTGCGGTAGATGCCCATGGGCATCTTGGTCGAGTCCTTGGAGCTCAGCGCGACAATCATGGCCTCGTCCTCGCTGTCCATCTCCTCCTCGGGCGGCATAATGTGTAGTTTGTCGGCGTTGATTCGTGCTTCTCGGTAGACGTCGCGGCCTTGCGCAAAGTTGGCATTTTTGGAATCAGACTTCATTCCACGGCCGCCAAAGCCGCCACCCCCGATACCACCACCAGCACCACTGCCGCCAAACCACCCGCTGCCACCTCTACTCGTACCTGCCTCTTACGTTAGGTAATTGTCACGTAGTTGCGCTCCACTGAGAACTAACCTCCAAGACCTGAAGAGAATGGGCCACTGGCACCGGAAATGATGCGGCCAAAGCCGCCTCTCCCCATTGTATCACCGCGACTTCGCTTGCTGCGGAAGCGCGAGCGCCCGCGAGCTCTGCGCTCTTCCGCGGCACGCTCGCTTGCCTTCTTTTCTTCCTGCCGTGCCAGGCTGTCTCTCTCTGCCTCGTCTCGACGAACAATCTTTGGCCGGAATCTTCCTCCAGCGGGGGCTCGTGTAGTTCGCGTTGTGTCCGCGCGTCGCGCAGGTGTCGTCTCGCTCGACGAAGCTGCTGGGGCGTCGGTTGATGTGGTTACTGGTACTGGTGCTGGTGTTGGTGCTGGTGCTTCCGCAGGCACGTCGGCTGCTGGTCGTTGGGTGCCGCCCCTGGCCGCCCCTCTACGGGTGCCGCGCGCTGGTGCTCTCCCGCGAACCATGTTGGCGAGAGGGGTCGCAAAAGTATGAAGAAAAGTATGCCGTCAGTTAGTAGGCAGATAGCTGGGGAGGAAACTAATTGAAACTGGACGAAGCTTTGAAAATTTGGGCGGTGGAGTGAAGAGTTGGTGGGGCTCTAATTCTGCCGCTGAACATGGGTACTTATTAGGCTGCGTTGGTGGGCATCTACAGATTACAGTGGTCTATTCACAAGAAGATACAGTGATGTCAATGATGAATTGATCTGCGAGGCAAAATAAAAGAACTCAGTAGGCGCAGAGAGAGCGGAATGGCCTTTAAGACCAGTGAAACATGCAAGAATAAAAATAAAAATACAAATGCTCCATCCTTCTACCTATCTCTATCTCTAGCTATGTTGAGTTATTCCAGGTATTAGTAGGTGAAAGCGTACTGGAAGAGACTATCGAACACACATCAAGGCATCTTGTCCAAAATTTTCTTCAATGCTACCTTCTCTGATGAGCATCGAGCCTATCCATTCCCGGCCAGCCTCTATGGCTGTGGCGGCGAACTTGACCACGACACAGCCACGGACATTGGCAGCCGACCACCATATGCCTTCCACCGCCTCCATGTCAAGTCTCCAACTGCGCCATCCCTCGAATTCCGTCATGTTGTCGTCTGCCGCTTGGCGGGCTTCGGCTGTGCGAAAGTCTCTCGAGCCCAGTCGCGGAAGAGCGGCAAACTCGGCGAGAAAAAAGTCACCAAGAGACTTCATCAGCTCTCCCCGGAGAACAAGTGTGCCAAAGAGGCCCATCTTGTGCATGACTTCGCGTAAGGGGCCGTCGCTCGAGGAGCCGCCATCGCCAGCGAGAATGACCTTGTCTCGCACCAACAGTCTGTCTTTCCCCTCATCGTCCTGAAGCCACACCTCGTTGCGGCCCGTCCACTGAAAAAAGCTCCAATTCTCGCCTCTTGCGGTTCGTCCTTGGGTGACCCAATCTAGTAAGCAGAGGGATGCACCTGGCCGAGTTTTGAAAATCTGCGTCTGGGAGTAGACGCTGTCCTCAAACGGCTGCACCGGGTCCGGAAGAAGGCACATGGCACCGCTGGCTTCAATCTCAATGCGCATGACCTGACTTGTCACGACGGAGCGCGAGGGAGATTTGAACACTTTTGTGTGCCCTTGAGTAACGAGACTGAGTCGTGAGTCCTTTTTGACCTTGACGGAAAGGTCAACCGAGTCACCACCGACCAGGCCTCCGCCGTAGGAGAGCAGAAAGATGAGAACACTTTTCTGACTGCTGGAAGGGGATGGCGAGATGAGCTTGAGAGGGTATTGATATTGCATCACTTCGAGTCCTGTGCCGCCAGATGGTAGTGGCCCAGCCACGATGCTACCCCCTCCGGCCGTGGGCGTTGACTTGGGAAACGGCGAGGCCATGTTGACGGGGCGCCTGCATCCGCCGAATTTAGAATACCATCAGATCAACGATAAAATATACAAGTGAATGGTTCCATGCGATCAAGGCATGGCTGTTGGTGATGATGGTGTAAATGCAACACTGAGGCTGTTGGGTGAGGCTCGCTGGCGATGTTGGCCTTATCAGCGGGGCCGGCACACCTATTGAGACTGGCGCGCCAACCCAAGGTGAAGAATCCAGCACCACGCAAGAAAGGAGGCCAAGACAGCTTGCGAGGACATAAACAGCCATTTTCAAATACAAGACAGGGAATCATCTGTCTCTCTAGCGCGTCTTTCTCCTTACTGAGCTTTTGAGTCTTCTCTCTATGTGCGGCGCCTCTCAACCACACCGGACATGTGCCTTGTAGAATGGAGCCCCATACTTGGTCTCGTGCAGGAGGTACTCGGAATGTTCGATTTTGAGACGAGGACGAAATGATAGGCTTTGTATTGGAGCACATCGCGCTATTTCCGGGCTGCTAAAAAGCGCCATCGTCAAGTACGGCCAGCCTTTCTTGATCTGCGGTAGGAGGCCCGCGGAGGGCGAGGTCTAGGCACTTAACGCGATGGCAGTGCCGACCATCCATCCACTCAACGAGAGGAAGTGGAAATGAAAAGAGGAGAAAAAAGGAAGCTGCGTTGAGAGAAAAGCGTAGCGAATTGCTCGATTCGACATGGATTGCCAAGCACGCTTTTCCAGCACTGCCACTGATTATATCCGAAGTCGGAACGGGTTCGAAATTGAACTGAAATTGTTGCAGAGCCGCTACCGAGGTCGACCTTTTCTAATATTGAGCCCATGTCGCTAGAAGAATGATTCCCGGTGTCGGCGGTAAGCAAGCCCAAGGATACATCGTCGTCGATCAGCCGGACAGGCTGGATCTAGCGTCGGTCTCGCCGTGTCTTGTAGACATGTGGCTATATCCTTTTTTCGACTACTGTTTGTCGGCACTTTTGAAGTAGAAACCCCCGGAACAGGAGGAAACTCGGAGTTTCTGCTTGGTGAAAGAGGAGACGGGCAGGTGCTGTTGCAGTCATCAGACTGGCGCGCGCATAGCCGCAGTTTGGTTGCATTGTCGCAGATTCTCGCCATGTAGCTACTGCGTCCAAAGGGTCCAGGGGTGTGTAAGTAACTAGTTGGGGGAATAGACAATATTGGCAGGCGGAGCCGAGAATGCAGCCTTCTCGGAGGACCTACTCGGAGGACCTGCTCGGAGATGCCCCAAAAATTCCATTGATTCTTCCATGGTCCGAGAGCGCAGGCGAAATTCAGCACATAGACTCAGATCTGATAAGATCATCTGATAACAAAGCAATGCTGCCTAGTCTGATCAGGCACTCAAGCTCAGCTGTTTGCGTGCGGCATTTTCACCCGACATGCTGCAGAATCCCTGCGCATTTCTACATGCTGCATAGTAGCTATTTGCTTGGCATTTGTGTGGCGCTCCATTCTTTGTGGTTTTGTGCACCGGAACTTCGTCCAAGTGGGATGGTGTGTCAATATCGTGCCACGGTACTTGCGTCAACGCCAGGGTGGCGAGCCTGATTTCGGCTTTGGCCGAACCTTGGCGAGTTCTTACTGCTGCAACGGGGTAACTACAGCAGTACCGACTATCGGAAGAAATACTCTTCCGGTCATCTGTCCGTCCATGTCGTTGAAGTGCCATGGGTGAGGTGGGCGATTGCCAGGTGTTAACTACCCGATGATGATCTGCGACAGGGCCGAGACTCCCACCGGCCGGTGGCAAGCAACTAGCTACTATGCGAGCCATTTCGGCAAGGAAACCCGTTGTGCCTACACCCTACATCTGCAGCTACTTTATTATGCCTACGCCCCAATAACTCGGCCGTAAAAACACGACTCTGTCAGTTTTTTTGGTCTGCACACGACGTGGACGCGTTCAAAAAGCAGTAACAAAAACGAAAAGTGCTTTTGGAATATCGCCAAGAAATTTTTTCTGCTGCTAGTGTTTTAAATAAAGATGCCGTTTCCAACAGAGATCTTGGTTCCGCCCAAGATCTGGTCTACCAAAGACGGCCTGTCGTCAGCCACCGTGTCCCCAGTGCCCCCGGTGCCGCATCCGCAAGATCAAGCGCCGAAAACAAACGAGCACCGCGTCGTTGAAAATACCGACGTGGACAGCCGCTATCAGACGGACGATGACGATACTCAGAAAGGTGTCGAGGAGGCAGAAGCTAGCCTCCAAGTTTGGAGTCCCTCTCACATCTACCTCGCATGGGGCTTGTAAGTTTATTGCCCAGAATCTACCAGAAAGAAGAAGCAGGACTGTGTTGCTGATTTGGACGTGGCAGCATCTGGCTTGTGTATTTCGTAGACTCGATGCATTCTTCAATGGGCTTCAGTCTCACCGCATACGTCACGAGTTCATTTTCCAAGCACGGCCTTACAGCCACCACTGGCGTTTTTTCGCAGCTGATTGGTGCGCTGATCAAGCTGCCGCTGGCCAAGATCCTCGACATTTGGGGCCGTCCTCAGGGCGTGGCGCTGACTGTGTTCTTCATGGTCATCGGTCTGATCATGATGGCGGCATGCCAGAATGTCGAGACGTATGCAGCCGCACAGGTCTTCTACTGGGTTGGGTAAGTCACCATGCCTGTAGTCTGCAAGACTCGAGAGATTTGCCATCTCAATTCATATGCATTTACCATTCTTTGCCTTTCTTCCCCGCGACTACCTCTGATCGAGAGTGCTGGCTAATCAGGCCTCGTTCGACTCGCAGCTTCAACGGCATAGGGTACAGCTTGCAAGTCTTCACCGCCGACACTTCAGCGCTCAAGAATCGCGCCTTTGTCTTTGCCTTTATCAACACGCCCTTTATCATTTCAACACCAACTAGCGGCTACGCAGCAGACGGGTTCCTCAACCTCGGCCCGCAAGGTTGGCGATGGGCCTTTGGTGCTTTCAGCATCATTGTCCCCGTTGTCGTATCGCCCATCTTCTTCTTGTTTCTATACAACCACCGCAAGGCCAAGAGAATTGGAGTGCTGCCCCCGAGGCAGCCTAGCGGACGCACTCTGCTGCAATCCCTCAAATACTATACCATTCAGTTTGATGTCGTCGGGATTCTACTCGCCTTGGCCGGCATGGCGCTATTCTTGATCCCGTTTAACATTTACTCTTACCAGAAAGAGGGATGGCGCTCTCCAATGATCATATGCATGCTCGTCTTTGGCGTCGTGATCCTGGTCTTGTTTGCTCTTTACGAAAAGTTCCTTGCTCCTGTCAAGTTCATTCCGTTTGAGCTCCTTGTGGACCGCACTATTATAGGCGCATGCTTGACAGTCTCCCTCTCCTTCATCTCCTTCTATATCTGGTCAGCCTTTTTCTCCTCGTTCCTGCAGGTCGTCACCGGGGCATCCATTGTGCAGGCCACATGGGTAGGCCGCATCTACAACCTTGGGAGCTGTTTTTGGGGACTGATTGTCGGTGTGCTCATTCGCTGGACCGGACGCTTCAAGTGGCTCTCGTTTTACTTTGGTGCGCCTTTGCAGATCCTCGGCGTTGGTCTCATGATCTACTTCCGGCAACCCGGCCGATCTCTTGGGTATATCGTCATGGCGCAGGTCTTCATCTCCATTGCAGGCGGAACTCTGGTCATTTGTGAGCAGATTGCCATCATGGCCGCTGTTGCTCACAAGCATGTCGCTGTTGCCCTGGCACTGCTTGCCATGTTCTCTTCGATTGGCGGCGCCATTGGCAGCACCGTCTCTGCGGCCATCTGGACCGGTGTCTTTCCACAAAAGCTCGAGGAATATCTTCCGGAAGAGGCAAAACAGAATGCCACCATGATCATTGCGAGCTTGCCTGTTCAGCTGTCGTATCCTGTCGGATCTGCGGTCAGGGTGGCTATTGAGAAGGCGTATGGTGATGCGCAGAGAATTATGATGATTTCCGCGACTTGCATCTTGATCGGTACCATCTTTACAGTTGCCATGTGGCGCGATTTGAAGGTCAAGGACTTTGAGCACAGGCCTGCTGTCAGAAGATGAGTGCTTGCTCCGGCCGTCTTTGAAGGGGAAGTTATCGCTCGGCAGACGAGGTCTGGGCGCAATTTTCTCGGTCCTAGTTCTGAATTTGTCTATTTGCCATGTTAACTCTGGATAACAATTTGAGTAGGCGTAAGAATGGCTTCCGTTTGACTTCGAGGGCCTCTTGGTGTGACGATCCGACGGACAGGTGAGCTCGCTGGCGATGGATAAAATAAGAACCTCAGACAGTAATAGTAGTAGACTAGAGATCCTATACCTTTTTCCGAAAAAAAAAAAAAACGAATTCCTTTATAAATCAGTAACAGTACCTGGCTTGCTCGCGGGCGTACAGTACGAATAGTCCGAGACAAGCAGACTCTAATTGCTTATCTTTTGCAGCTGAGCCGCCCGCACGCGACCATATATCCCATTTTTTTTATACAAGAGCGCAATTTAAAGGCTGTAAATATGACTGATCGTTGTTCGGGAATAAATTACATTGGAACATGATGATTTGTTGGAAGCAATACCAAGGCGCCCCATTTTATGGATTGTCGCAAGCGAATCAAAAATCGTAGGCGAGGAACCGTGACCGTTAAGTGACGGTACCTTGGCTCGCGTAGTCTCTACTATGAGACTCATTGGTACCTATATAACCGCTAATCATCCGAAAGACCAGTAAGGATCGCTGCCCCACAAATAGCTGCCCCCCAGCTGGCGGGCAGTCCTGGCAGGTTAACGACTCCAAGACGCCAAACACGCGCCGCCGGTCGCAGCAAACATCCCGTCGCGCGCCTCGCGATCGCACTCTCTCTTTCCACGCTGCATCGACCTCTTCGCCGTGTCTGCCGAGCCGACACTGACAGAAGCTCAAAAATACAATGGACAACGACATCGTGGCCTCGAGCCAGGACGATGATGCACCGCGCCGTTCTGGACGCGTCGTCAAAATTCCCGAGAAGTGGGAGCCGGAGCCGTCCGCGCAGATGGCCTCGGCGAAGCGTAAACGCGGCGGCGAGGGCGGCGAGGGCGACGACGGCCTCGATTCCGACGAGGACGACAGCGCCGAGGACGAGGACGATGGCGACGACGACCATCCCGCTCCCCGCGCGCGACGAGCTGGTGGCGCCAGCCGGCCAAAGAAGCCTTCGCTCAAGAAGCCCAAGATCAATGGCGCCGGCGGCGGCCACACAGCGCGTATCCCCAGCAGACCCAAGAAGACTGTCCGGATTGAAGCGGGGACCAAGGGCACGGGTCTATTCGGTACGCCCCCTCACACCCCACGCGCCTTGTCGCGCCGCCTAACACGCTCGATAGTGGACATTTTCGGCTCCGGTGAGCCTTCGCAGACCGTCGCCCACCAATGGCTCGAACGGTACAAGGCAGACAGTGCTGCTGCTCTGAGTGATCTTGTCAACTGTATCCTACAATGCGCAGGCTGCGACCTCGAGGTCACGCCTGACGATATTCGCGACCCCGAAAACATCCCCAACAGACTTCTCGATCTCCAAAGCATCTATCAAGAGGTAAGTACCGCGTCCCAATCTAGTTGATGCCTCATGGAAATTGACCCTTGGCAGCAAAATATTATCGAGTACCCTCTCATCTCTCGAGCTAAAGGAACTCGCTCCTTCCGGGACCTCCTCGTCACATTCTTCCAAGCGCTCGTCGCCTTGCTTCACGACACCGACATCATGTACCAGGATGGAGAACTGATGGAGAACCTTCATGCTTGGCTGGCCAGCATGTCCTCGTCCTCCCTGCGACCTTTCCGCCACACCGCCACGACCATTGCCTTGGCCGCCCAGACAGGACTTGTCGACGTGGCCGGTACGCTCGACCGTCGCATCGCCAACATCGAGCAACAGCTACAAGCCGCCAAGCGCGGCAAGAACAAATCCAAGACTGTGGAAGTGCAGCGCAACTTGGAAGAAGCAAACAGCCACCGGAGCCTTTGCAGCGAAGGCATCCAGTCCTACTTCGATACCGTCTTTGTTCATCGCTATCGTGATGTCGACCCAAAGATTCGTACCGAATGCGTCGAGGCTATTGGTTCTTGGATCTGGGACCTTCCCACCGTCTTCATGGAGCCAGGCTACCTACGCTACCTAGGATGGATGCTTTCCGACGTCAACGCCCCCACCCGACTCGAAGTTCTGCGCCAGCTGTGGAAGGTCTTCAAGCGCAGCGCCCAGCAGCTTATTCACTTCATTGATCGATTCCGCCCACGACTTATTGAAATTGCCACGCTCGACACCGAAATCTCTGTCCGAGTTGCTGCCATCTCTGTTATCGACACACTACGCGCCGCCGCTCTCCTCGAACCCAGTGAGATTGACGCTATCGGCAGACTCATCTTCGACAACGAGATAAGAATACGCAAGGCTGTAGTCAATTTCTTCGGCGCGTGCATAGAGGACGTAAAGGAGGGCAAGGTGGAGGAGCTCGGTGGCCAAGATGCGCTGGATGAGGTCGATGGAGGCGACGAGGATGACTTCGAATCCCCTCGCAAAGAATGGCTGGATATCAAGTGTCTTGCCGAAACTCTGGCCATCTACAACGCCCAGGTGGACGAAACGCAACAAAGTACTGGGTTCCTTGGCACCGAAGTTTCCTTGGATCTCCTCGAGTCTGTGGTGCCTGAGACGAGGATAACACTGGCTGCTCAGGCTCTGTATGAAAAGATTCCCGAAATCAAGTCATGGGAAATCCTGGCTGGATATCTTCTTTTCGATCACTCAACAAGCACAAAGTCGCGTGGCAAGGCTAAGGGCAAGAGCGCGTCTCCAGAGGCTGCTTTCAAAAAGGCCGTTGCGCCGCTGACGGAAGAAGAATCCATCCTCCTCGAAGTTCTCAGCTCCGGCATTCGATCCTCCCTCACACACTCCGGAGGTGACGTTGACCGCAGCCGACGTAGAGGCAACCGTGAAGCTGCCGATGCGCAGGAGGACATTGCAGTTGAACTCGCCAGTATCATCCCCAAACTTCTCAACAAGTTTGGCGCTGAGCCTGAGACGGCTGCCATCGTCTTGCGTTTGGAGCATAATCTCGACCTCGACGTCTTCCAGCAGCTTCGCCAAGACTCGAGCAAGTATGAGAGGCTGCTGGACGAAATAAGCACACAATTCATCCGACACGACGATAAGAGAGTCCTGTCAGAAGCTGCTGCTGCGCTATTACATGCCCGTCAATATGACGAACTGGAAGAACTCACCGACAGTAAGCTCTCCGTATTATGGGATAACGTCATAGAGGCGCTCCGCAACTTCAGTGAAACGTGCGAACTCTCTGTTCGCGGAAACCTCGCTGTAGCACCGCTTAGGCAATTATCGACACTGGTGATGAAGATTAGCAAGCTGGCTAGCATTTCGGATTGTGTTGATATTTTGGACGCCGAGTCTAGGTCTCAGAATGCCGACTCGTCAGCCATCCAGACCCTCATCAACATTGTCCACCGCGGCAAGTACGAACCACAGGAGGATGAGGTTGATGACCTTGAAGATGAGGTTGTGACACTCGCGATCAAGGCCTGTCAGTTCTATTTCATGTGGAGGATTCGCGCTCTATCAAAGCGACTGGCAGCTGGTACCGGTATTGCTGACAATGAGCTTGACGCTTTGTCTGTCCTTCGCCAATCCTACCGCCGTCACCTCATCGAGACATTTTCATCTCGCGCTGCTATTGATCAGCTGCGTCTCTTTTCTACGGGCAGCCTCTGCGACCTGCACCTCTCTTTTGCGACGCTCCGACCGAGGATCACCGCTCTTCGAAATTCCGCCGACCCCGCCCACGCCGACAAGTTCAAAGTCATCATCCAGGAAATCGAGCCCGGTCTGATCCCCGAGCTGACGGCCATCTTTGACGGCGCCGAGAAGCAGTTTGCCAAAAGGTCGAAAAAGGACAAGGCGCTGAACGAGCCTGCCGAGGACGAGGACCCCCTGTCTGATGAAGAGGACGAGGACGACGAGGACGACGGCGACGCCGAGCTCACGCCCGATCAGCGCCACGCCAACGAGCTGCGCGCCGAAAAGTCGCTCTGTGAGCTGACGGCCAAGTACGTGCTGGCCATTAGCGGCCGCCTGATTGACGACCGCGGCGGGCTCGTGGACAAGCTGCGCCGCCGCCTGCTCCGCAACCAGACCAAGCTGGGCCACAACTTCAAAGAGGTCGTCGCGTTCCTGGACGAGGACAAGATGGCGCGCGCGGCGAAAAAGGCCGCGCCCAGACCCGTGGCCGCTGCGAAGCCGCCCGTTGAAAATGAGGCGACGACGGCGGCCCAGGACCTGGAAGACATGTTTGAGGACGAGGCCGAGCCGGAGGAGGGATCGCGTGACGATTTACGCCGCAAGGGCTTGCTCGAGGACGATCCACTCGAGGACGATGATGACGACAATCAAGGCCAGCATGAAGGCCGCTTCGAGGACGACATTTTAGGAGACTAGGACGCCCGCTCTCTTGATAAAGAGTTGGTCTCACCCTCTATTCGTCAACCATACAACTTTGGGATTATCGCAGGCGCACTCTGATTGATAGATTCGAAGAGCCCGATGGTCCAGTCCGCGGCAGCATTCAACTTCCACAAGACTCCAGAGAAGAGGAACGAAGAAACATTGTAAAAAGCGAGACATAGTGTTTGTGAAGAAGAAACACACCAAGTCTTTATGTCAAAAAATGGGCAGATATTCGGGCAGTGGAAGATTGCAGCCAACACAAGACGAGGAAAAAAGAAGATTTGCTTTGGCCAGCTTCTGGTCTGGAAAGGAAAACCTTGACGACATCTTTTTTTTTTGGTTCTGATGCTTCGTGGCCCCCCCCCTTGTCTTGCCTTGTCTCTGCCCTAATTCTGTTCGTTTTCTTCTGTGTTTTTACTGTTGCGTTTGTTTTCTATCTTCTGGGCAACAAGGCGAAAGGAAGGGGAGGAGGGGGGGGGGCAACCCTTTTTTTCGTCGCGCGTTTCATATGTGATCATGGTACGGGTACTTTCTTATGACGATTTTATATGTACTGGTTGTCTTTCTGCGCCCTGCTTTTGTATTTGTTCATAGTCTAACACTTCTTTGTCTTTTTTGTTCTTCGCTTCAGCCCCGCCTGGTTATTTTGGCTGAAGTCTTTGTGAGAAAGAGAGAAAGGAATCGAGTTTTTCTCACTGGGGGTCGGTATTTAAAAAACTGGAAATTTAGTCGTACTGAGTTTGTGGTGTTTTGTGCTTAATGACATCTACGTTTACATACATGCGTGCTGTATTCCCGTCTCTTTCTGATGAGGTATATTTGACTTTTGAATAGGGACGTGTCCAAATGTCGCAAGGTACTGTTACATGTGATACATAGACGCCGCCTACTCGGCCCTGGCCATGTCCGGCACGGATATTTGCGTCCCGAACAAGCCATACATGCGCTGCCAGCGCTTCTTCTCGCCCGCGTCCGCCTTTCCCTCGTCTTCCTCGCGCATCTTGATCCCATACTGCCTGATGCAGCACGAGAATGGGCGGTTCGCCGGCACCACGGCGGCGGCGCTCGCGGCTTCCTCGTCGTCGCTGTCCACCGGCGGCCCGTTGGCGCGCGCCTGCTTCTCGACCTTTTCTCTGCGCTGGAGCCGCGCCGTCTTCTTCTCTTCCAGGTCGCCCCAGAGGTAGAAGAGCTTCTCGCGCAGCCTTGCGACCACGGCCTTGCTGTTGCGGAGATCGCAGGCGTTCATGCTCAACAGGCACTGCGCGGCGTGGTTGTCGACGGTGACCCAGACCTTGTCATGGTGGGCTGCGTCAGGATCCTGTGCGTCCTCGAGGAGGAGGTGGAAGCGCCACTCCCACCCGACAATCTTTTCAGACGTGACGTGTCGATCCATGGTCTGTTCGTCGTCCCCGCCCTCTGACGGCTCAGACTCCCCGTCTGAGCTCAATGCATGATACATACCAGTTTTGCGCTTTGGAAATGCAAAATCTGCTAGGCTGTGTGGCAGGTAGTCGGTGACGCGGACAGTCGCTCGGTAATTTGCGTTTGTAAAGGGCAGCGGCAGTTTCGCAGCGTCCTTGCCGATGAGTGTTTCAAAGTAAAATTGTTCGAGCAATTCTGCCACCGTGCTGAGTGGTTGTTTCTCATTTTCACATTTGACTGTAAATGGGCGTTAGTCGAGGTGAAGTCAGTGGAAGGAGCGGATCTCACTGGTAGAGTTGAGTTTTATTTTGGCGACATCTGGTTCGGGCGTGGAAGGATTCTCTTTTTCGGGATTTTGTATATTTTTTTTACTCTTTTCCGCATTCTTTCGCTTCTTGCTGCGTTTTGCTTTCGAGTTGGGGCTACGAGGGGTTTGATCTTCGTCAAGAGCTGCCCGCCGCTTCTGCCCGGCACTGGCGGCTTCACTTATAGACTTGAGCTGTTTCTTCATCTCCTTTTCATAGTCTCGCCGGCGACGAATCGTGTCCTTGAATTTGGGGTCCATGGAATCGCCATCCACCTCGTAATCGAGCTTGGAAATGTAGACTCTGTTTGGATACCGTTGGTCTCCTCGAAGAAAACCTTCCAGGTTGCTGCTGTTGCGGCCAAATTTAATCTGAAGATTTCGAATAGCGACCCAAGAGCCAAGAGTTATCTTGTTGGTCCTGATGGCCTCAGCATGCGGTTCCCAGCATGTAATCTGCATGCTGCGCTTGCCGTACGGGCCAGCCCAGTCAGCTTCTGTAGCACGGGAGTCGCCGTTATAGTTACGTGTAGAGCGAGTGTGAGATTCAAGGCTTTTTATGGCAAAATTGAAGAAATTCGAATGCTCGGTGTAGTCGGATATCCAAAGAGTAAACTTCTCGCCGTCGTCGTACGGCGTTTTGACTACTTCGGCGATGACATCGACGAAGCGCCGGACAGAGGCATCTTTGAGAAGGCTAGACTTTTCCTTGATCTGGCCGGAACTCGCCACTGCGTTGTTGTATTCAATTGTCGTTGGAACCCTCTCCTTATCAATCCGATGGTAGAAAGCGGATACATGGCCCAAATCGGCCTTGGTAAGAGATTTGGGGGTCTTGCCCAGTGACTTTGAGTGCAAGGCATCCTGGGCGTCTTGAGGAGGCCTTGGAACACGCGAGGCGGTAAATACGTAGACGTCTGTCAAGTAATGCGTCATGAGAGAATACTCAGATTGGAAGAATTGGACCTGTCAGGATAGTTAGCGTGGCTGGCGGCACCGAGACCTCTGACGCGATTCCGTCCACCTTTGCCTTGAAAATTACGACAACATCGCCCAAAGAAGGTATCGGCATGGCGTCTGGTTGGCGGAACATGTGTATGTTCAAAGACTTGGAGCTGTCATGCTGAGTAGATTCATCGTAGAAGCGAATCTCAGCTTTGTAGTCTACAGTGATTATTGTCAATGATTGCGAGACAGCGATGAGGGAGTTACTGAAGATACCGGTTTTTCTGGTTGGAATTGGAGTTCTGAAATCAGTGACCAGTCCGATCAAGTTGATGAGAGTTCCTGGAGTGATGTGGCCGTCCAAGACTCGGTCAATGGGAGTGAAAGAAGACACCGCGGACGCCATTTTGTTGTTCAATGCATCTGAGTGGAACAAGGCGAAGAAATAAGGAGTGTCGATTGTACCAGCTCCCAGCGACACGCCAAGGTAGACTTTGGAAGCTGCAGAGGCCGGGCTCCTCGCGTATTAGTGAGATTATGCGCGAAACCGCGTTTGGCAGTGTTAGCCTGTAGCCCAAGTCGCGCGCGGTGGCACGGAAGCACGTGAGAGAACACAAGGCGTCAAAGTCTGATAGGGCGGGGTTTAGCGAGTATTTTCTTTGAGAAAGTACAAGATACACTGTGCGTCATGACGGGGCACACAAGTACTCAGTACATGAACCTGTGGATGATGCCTCAGGCTGCAAACACAGAACCGGCGTGCCCCTCTCGCTGAACCTCTGAGCCCTGTAAGTTACCTGGTACCTCCAGGCTGTTCCAGCACTGTTCCAAGGTGGCTTCAGCGGGTGGCGGTGCCCCGAAAACAGCTAGCGGCGCACTTTAGCGGCCCCTCCTCACTTTGTGGCAACCAAACACAGACCCTCCTTGGAGCCGCCCATTTTCTACCGCAATTTGGGCCAGTCTGCCAAACTCTGCCTGCCATCAACTCATCCGCTTTTTGCATCTTACGCTTCTTCCAGTCTGCTTCTCTTCTCGCAGACCCTCTTCCCATTCTCCTGACAGCTAAATTCTCTGCTGCTCATCTTCTTTACACCCTCCCAGAGCGTCTCTTTTCCGTTGGCTCGCCGCCTCGTTTCTTGCCCCCCTCAACCCCTCCTCTCCGCCCAAAAAAAAAATACGAAAGCAAACCACCATGACTGATCGCTACATTCCCGAGCATCGCCGAACGCAGTTCAAGGCTAAAGGGGCCTTCAAGCCCGAGGAGCTCCGCCGCCGTCGTGAGGAGCAACAGATTGAGATCCGAAAGGCCAAGCGCGAGGACAACCTCGCCAAGCGCCGTGGTATTGCTACCGGGGAGAACCGTCCTGGTGCCTCACTGGGCGCCGCCCCCGATAGTGATGATGAGACCACTCCCACAGAGTCCCAGGTATGCTCGATTTCAATATTCATCTGCAGCAATATTGCAAATAGCCTGCGCTGTGTTGGAAAGATCTTTGTACAGCTCGCTGCAACTCTTGTTTGTTTGGTGTGATTCGGTTGTGGATGTGGGGGACCTTTCGCCGGGGGAATCCCCACAGAGCCTCACCACCACCAAGAAGAGTTTTGCAGTAGCCTCAAGATTTCTTACACCTTTGCTAGCTTTCCTTCTGCTCTGGCGTACTAACCAGAAATCATGTCGCTAACCTCTCATCTTCTAGCTCAACGAGGACCTACCCCAGATGGTCGCCGGTGTCTTCTCGGATCAGATGGAACAGCAAATTCAGGCCACGACCAGATTCCGCAAGCTGTTGTCCAAGGAGCGCAACCCGCCCATCGAGGAGGTCATTAAGACGGGTGTCGTCGGCCGCTTTGTCGAGTTTCTCCGATCTCCCCACACTCTCGTCCAGTTTGAGGCGGCCTGGGCTCTTACCAACATTGCCAGTGGTTCTGCCACCCAGACTCAAGTTGTCATTGAGGCCGGCGCCGTGCCCATCTTTGTCGAACTCTTGGCCAGCCCTGAGCCCGATGTGCGTGAGCAGGCTGTCTGGGCTCTTGGTAATATTGCCGGTGACAGCCCTCACTGCCGTGACTACGTTCTGAGCTGTGGCGCCCTGAAGCCCCTGCTCAACCTCCTTGGCGACAGCCGTAAGTTGAGCATGCTTCGCAATGCTACGTGGACCCTCAGTAACTTCTGCCGGGGTAAGACGCCCCAGCCTGACTGGAACACTGTAAGTCTATACTGCAAATCTCTCCGCCGTTGATGTCCCCAGGTGCTGACCAAAATTTAGATTGCCCCCGCCCTGCCCGTGCTTGCCAAGCTTGTCTACTCTCTCGACGACGAAGTCCTTATCGATGCTTGCTGGGCCATCTCGTATCTGTCCGATGGACCGAATGAGAAGATTCAGGCCGTTATCGAGGCTGGCATCCCCCGCAGACTCGTCGAGCTTCTGCTCCACGCTTCCACCTCTGTCCAGACTCCTGCCTTGCGGTCGGTTGGCAACATTGTCACTGGCGACGACTTGCAGACCCAGGTCATCATCAACTGTGGTGCTCTCCCCTGCTTACTGTCTCTCCTTGGTTCGGCTAAGGACGGCATCCGGAAGGAAGCTTGCTGGACGATTTCCAACATCACTGCCGGCAACTCTGGTCAGATCCAGGCCGTCATTGATGCCAACATCATCCCCCCTCTGATCCACCTTCTGCAGAACGGCGACCTCAAAACGCGCAAGGAGGCGTGCTGGGCCATCAGCAACGCTACTTCGGGTGGCCTGCAGAAGCCTGAGCAGATTCGTTACCTCGTCAGCCAGGGCTGCATCAAGCCTCTCTGCGATCTACTCATCTGTCCTGACAACAAGATCATTCAGGTTGCTCTTGACGGTCTGGAGAACATTCTCAAGATTGGTGACCTTGACAAGCAGGCTGCTGGCGACGGTGCTGAGAATCTCAACAAGTACGCCCTTTTCATCGAGGAGTGCGGCGGCATGGAAAAGATTCACGACTGCCAGAACAATGCCAACGAGGAGATCTACATGAAGGCTTACAACATCATCGAGAAGTACTTTTCTGACGAGGAGGAGAATGCCGACGAGGGTATGGCCCAACCTGCCGGCGCCAACGGCCAGTTCGGTTTCGGCAACGCCAATGGCTCTGGCCCAGCTGGCGGCTTCAACTTTGCCAACGGCGGTGACTCCATGGACATGTAAAATGTCTGCGCAAGAGGAGATGAATTATGCCGTGTTGCGAAATGCGAATGAAAATTGCTGAAGGATATACCAACATGTCACTCCAGTCTCCCCAACACAACACTACAACAACTCATGACGACAACAAATTACACCTGCATGCCCATCAGGACATGCCTGCTCCTGGTTACGAGCAACAGAAATCCCTGGACATAACACTACATACCCCTCGTTACACGTTTCCCCTACAATCCCCAATATCAACATAGCACCAGTCATTTTTTTATAATCAGTTTAATGCATTTGCACGGAAGGAGGGAGAGTTAAAAGGCCCTATGGTAGCTTGAAAGCTCCAGCCTTGCGATGATTTGATGAGCGATATCGATCCTTGGCTTGGGCACAAGCCAGGAAAGATGTAAAACGAAGAGGCTCCGTATAGACGACTCGGCGTTATGCACAGCGCCAGCAGAATCTACTGGATTGGCACTTGTTGCTGACAGAGCTTCGTCTATGATGGCGCAGTACAACTACGGGCAGTCAATGCTAGTGCAGTCTGCTCCGAGAAGAAGGGGATCAGCCTGGAGACGTTGTTGCCAAGTGGCCGACTTGGCTCCGAGCGCGATCATCTATAGTTGTAGCGAAATAAACAAAGAATCCCCCCAAATCCCGTATCTTGACATGACGTGACAATTGCTGTGTTAGTAGAATTTGCTATGGTGCGATGCATGTTCGAGGCTTCTGCCAGGAGTGTACAACTGAAAAAGGAGCAAGCGAGAGAAAATGACGGTAGAAAATTCCAAGATTTATTCAAGTTGAAATCTGTACACACCTCTCGTTGAATGGCTGTCCGACATCGACTAACTAAAGGTGTTCTAAGACAGTGCATGTGGGGCGACTGGTGTAGATGTCGCCGTAGAGGTGTACCAGGCGGACAGCGATTTCCTCGCCACAAGCCTTGTCAGCACGTCGTCTCAAGCTTAGTCGGCCTATAATCCGCAAATAGGAGACCGAAGCTTCATAATCTAAGCAGTCAGGTTGCGGATCCTGCCTTGGGAGGGAAGGAACCCATGGCAGCCTGAGCCGAGCAGAAAATTCTGTCGGCCGACGAGACAGCTCCCACAACCCAAAGCCACCCACCCACCATGGTGAAAAGGGGCAAAGCTAAGGCCACGGAGCCGGTCAAAGCTGCTGATCCTCCGGCTACTGTGGCGAAGGATGGCGGAAAGGGTAAAAAGGGTGCCAAACCGGAGGCGGCGATTCCCCCTGAGCTCGGTCCAGTCGGTCCTCCCAAACCGACCGTCAAGCAGCTCATCGGTGGTTCGTCGTGGACTGGCAAGCTACCGGTGAATCTTTTGAGCGAGTACTGTCAAAAGCAAAAATGGGATCGCCCAGACTACGACACGCGCAAGACACCTGATGGCTTCTCCGTGTTTGTCACGCTCAGCGCCAAGGACCCCAAGACGCAGCTGACGACGAAGCTGGAGCCGTTCAAGATACCACCAACGCACAAGCACCTCATCATGCGTGACACGGCGATAGAGGCCAAGCATGCGGCGGCGACGTATGCGCTCTTTCGTGTCTGCAGCATGCAGAACAAGCACATGGTGCTGCCGCCGGACCACAAGGCGCTCTGGAAGGACTTTCAGGCGCTGAAAGCGCTGGATGTCAAGGACGGCAAGGGCTGGATCTACGACGCGGATCCCTTTAAAACATTCCATGAGCGGCAGGAAGCGAAAGCGGCCGTGGAAAAGAAGCGCAAGGAGGCCGATGCGCTCAAGGCCAAGGCCAAGGAGATGCCTGGTGCGGCGGGCCTGGTGCTTCTGAGCAATGCAGGAGGTGGAGGGGGCAGCGGCGGCCACGGCGGCGGCGGCGGTGATAGGGGATTTAACATGATGAGGGGCTGGACGAATGCGCCCAACGTGGAAATGGGGCGGCAGACGCGATCGCAGTTGGAAAACCTCTTGCGCAAGGGTGTCTCGTGGAATCCGTATGGGATACAAATGTCTAGGGCTCAAAAAGAGAGTGTCATGGCAGAGCTGTGCAAAGTTGGCATTGGCTTCCGCAAAAGCCACGTCGCCGAAGCTGTCGAGTATTGCAAAGACCGAGAGGAGACGCTGGAGTGGCTCCTCATCCATGTCCCCGAGGACGACCTGCCGCGGTGGGCATTGCCTGAGAAGTATGCCGCTGGTGTGACGATTGGAACCAACGATCTTAAGAGGGACGGTACGATACAACGCCTCTCAAAGAATGGGTACTCGCTGGAGCTTTGCGCAAGAGTGTATGATCAGGTTGGCGGTGATGAGGGCAAAACGGCAGAGGCACTGCAGACTCTTCTCTTTTCGCGGCCCAAAGAAGGCAGCGAGGGCGGAGAAGAGTCGCTTGACTTTTTGGACATGGGATCGCCGGAGGAGCAGTGGCGCGAAGAGATGGAGAGCCTGGAAGCAATGTACGGACCTCTCTTTTCAAGAGAGGATGCGGACACGGTCAGGATCCAGCTCGAGCCCGTGAAGAATCCGCCTCACCAGGTAGAAGCTTCGCTGCAAGTGCGACGAGGCTCAAACTATCCAGACACGCTGATCCTCGGGATCCTTGCCAATCTGCCTTCCTACATCAAGTTGAGCATCATGCGCAAGGCACTGGAGTACATGGATTCGTCACTACGAGAAGAGCCAATGAAGGTGTACCTAGTATTGGATTGGATCCAGCAAAACATCAACGGCATAGTAGAAGATCCCGGAAAGCTGGTCGACATTTCCGCAGTGTCGTCGGCCGCGTCGGAGCAGAAGCCAGGTGATGCGGTCAAGTCGAGAAAACGAATGCGCACCAATGCCGGACCGATCCGACGGAACGCCGATGCGCGCAGCAGGGAGGCCTGGATCAGGCGCCAAGAAGCCTCAGCGTACAAGGACATGCTCAGCAAGAGACAAAAATTGCCTGCGTGGCAGATGCGCCAAAAGATTGTGCAGACAGTCATGGACAACCATGTCACCATCATCAGCGGCGAGACGGGTTCTGGCAAATCCACGCAGTCGGTACAGTTTATTCTCGATGACTTGTACGACCAAGGCCTGGGCAACTGCGCCAACATGTTGGTGACGCAGCCGCGCCGTATCTCGGCACTTGGTCTCGCGGACCGTGTTGCTGAAGAGCGATGCGTACGTGTGGGACAAGAAGTCGGTTATGCAATTCGTGGCGAATCGCGGCAGTCGAGGGATACGAGAATCACATTCATGACGACTGGTATTCTGCTCCGCCGTCTGCAAACGTCTGGTGGACGCGTGGAAGATGTGGTGGCCTCTCTTGCCGATGTGAGCCACGTCATTGTCGACGAGGTCCACGAGCGAAGTCTGGATACTGATTTCCTGCTCAACTTGATTCGCGAAGTGATGCGTATCAAAAAGGATGCCCTGAAGCTGATTCTCATGTCTGCTACACTGGATGCTGCTTCGTTTATAAACTACTTTGCGTCGGAAGGGCTGAGAGTTGGCGCCGTCGAAATCGAAGGCAGGACGTTCCCTGTCGACAACTTTTTCCTGGATGATGTGATTCGCATGACAGGATACAACGCCGACACTCCCGACGGCGGATTCATCGGCGATGAGCTCATGGGCAAGATCATCCAGAAGCTTGGCCATCGTATCAACTACAATCTCATCGTGGAGGCGGTCAAGGCCATCGACTACGAGCTCACCTACGACAAGAACCGCGGCGGCATCCTCATCTTCCTCCCCGGCGTGGGCGAGATTGGCCAGGCGTGTCGGGCCCTGCAAGCGATCCCGTCGCTGCACGTGCTCCCGCTGCACGCCTCGCTCGAAACGCGCGAGCAGAAGCGTGTCTTTGCCAGCGCCCCCCACGGCAAGCGCAAGGTCGTCGTGGCTACCAACGTTGCCGAGACGTCCATTACCATTGACGACATTGTCGCCGTCATTGACAGCGGCAAGGTCAAGGAGACGAGTTTCGACCCGGGCAACAACATGCGCAAGCTCGAGGAGACGTGGGCGTCGCGCGCTGCCTGCAAGCAGCGCCGCGGTCGTGCTGGTCGTGTCCAGGACGGCAAGTGCTACAAATTGTATACCCAAAACCTCGAGAACCAAATGGCGGAGCGGCCCGAGCCGGAAATCCGCCGCGTACCGCTGGAGCAGCTGTGCCTGTCGGTGCGCGCCATGGGCATGCGCGATGTCGCCCGCTTCCTCGGCCGGTCGCCGACGCCGCCGGAAGCCATGGCGATTGAGGGTGCCATGAAGCTGCTCCGACGCATGGGCGCGCTGGACGGCGACGAGCTCACGGCCATGGGCCAACAGCTAGCCATGTTGCCGGCCGACCTGCGCTGCGGTAAGCTCATGGTGTTTGGCGCCATCTTCGGCTGCCTGGACGACTGTGTCACCGTGGCCGCCATTCTCAGCACGCGAAGCCCGTTTCTCTCGCCCCAGGACAAGCGTGAGGCGGCCAAGGAGGCCCGCATGCGCTTCTTTGCCGGCGACGGCGATTTGCTGACGGACCTGGCGGCGTATACGGAGTGGAAGAGCCTGATGCGCGACCGGATTCCTATGAAGCAGGTGCGCGCCTTTTGCGACGACAACTTCCTCTCGCATCTCACCTTGTCGGATATTTCCAATACCAAATCGCAGTACTACACGGCGCTGGCCGAGATGGGCCTCGTGTCGCCCAAAGAGGCAGCGGCTGCGGAAGAGGATACGATGGCAAGCGATACCGGTGGTGGCGGTGGCGGCAAAAGGAACTCGCAGCTGCTGCGCGCGCTCATCGCGTCGGCATTTACGCCGCAGATTGCGCGGATCCAGTACCCAGACAAGAAGTTTGCCAGCTCCATGTCGGGCGCGGTCGAGCTGGACCCGGAAGCGCGGTCGATAAAGTACTTTAACCAGGAAAACGGGCGCGTGTTTGTGCACCCGAGCAGCACCATTTTTGACAGCCAGGGGTTTTCGGGGCATGCGGCGTACATGGCGTACTTTTCCATCATTGCCACGTCCAAGGTGTTTATCCGGGATCTTTCCCGTAAGTTGCGACAGGGCGAATCATCAAGAGAAAACAAGCTAATCAGGAACAGCATTCAACGTGTACACTCTCCTCATGTTCTCCGGCCCGATTGAGCTCGATACGCTCGGCCGCGGTCTGCTGGTGGATGGCTGGTTGAGGCTGCGCGGGTGGGCGCGCATCGGCGTCCTGGTCGCGCGGCTGCGCGGCATGGTGGACGATTTGATTGCGGAAAAGGTAGAGAAGCCGGGCTTGGACCTGCGCGGCAACGAGGTGATTAAGCTGGTGACGAAACTGATTGAACTAGACGGTTTAGATGCGTAGATGGTGGTGTTTGTCACTATACATTGTTGTTTAGAAATGGACGGAAAGAGGATTATGGGTATAAAGAAAATACAATGCATGATTTGAATATACACGAGTCAAGAACAAACAGATGGTTGAATGCAGAGTGGTTGAAGAACTGTCTGTATATTAGTATGCAGTCGGGCTGGAGCCTAGGCTTACTTAGTTCCTGCATCAGGCAGCGCCGCCTACCTACCTACCTAGTTAAGTGGCGACTCGTGAACTTGGACTCCTTCCTCAACATACAGATCCCCCAGCCTCACCATTGCATAAGCGAGCACCATGACCGACCCGGAGTCGAGCTCGCACGAGGCTCTCACCAAAGAGGAGATGCAAAGCGCGTCCCCATCCGCTCCTCGGGAGAAGCGTAAAAACGCCTGTACGTGCACCCCCCCTCTCACGCCCGCCCTCCCCAAACTCACCAAACATGCCAAATAAAGTCAGCGCGCTCATGGCGCCCAAGAAGAAACCACCACCACCTCCCGCCGGCGCCAGCCCATTCAAGAACCGCATGGGTCTCGGCGCCTACCTCGGCGACCCGGGCTCGTTCCCGGCCTCGGTGGTCATTGCGCACTCGGCCGACTTTGTGCTCATCCACGACAAGTTCCCCAAGGCGACGGTGCACACGCTGCTGCTGCCGCGG